GGGACAGGTTTCACCCTGGGCAAGTCTCTTGGCTCCCGTCAGGCAGGAAAGCAATCATTCCTGGAGATGTTGCATGCCTGGGAGCAGCAGACGCAAAATATCAGTCTCTGAACTTGTTGCCGTGCTTTTCTTGAGTAAGCCCAGTCCCCAAGGAGGTGGTAGACCCATCATTCTCGACTCGCTGTGGTGTCGCGTGTGATCTAGGCTGCGTCAGCCTGTCGCCCGCCGTTTGGGAGAAGTCATTGGGAAACCCAGCCTTCTGGGAGACTCGGGCTACACGTGTGACCGATCAGGGCACGTGCACACATCCTTCAGCGTTTTGCGAAACTCAAGGGTTTCAGCGCGGCCAGTGGCATGCTAGATCTTACGACATACTACGAATCTATTTCACATTGACATGCCGAGCTCTGGGCCGAGGCAATCAGGACCAGCTTTCCGCTGAGGCTCATGCCTTGCTCGTGCTCGGCGTACAGGCTTCCTCGCAGGGCCTGTTGGCAAGGATCTATATCGGAGGCCATCGGAGCTAATGGCACGGTGGCAGCCAGGTGCTCAGGAGCGCTCGCCCTCGCGGAGCTTCTGATTCACACGTTGCTTGCAAAGTTACAGGCGCAATTTCCAGCGGTAAGGTTTCAGAACTCAGTAGATGATGTTGGGTTGCAATCGGTAGGGAGTTTTGAACACATCGGAAACCAGCTCCCCGAGGCTATGATGGCCTTTGCCCAGGGCTTGGAGGCCAAAGGTCTTCGCGTCCATTGGGACAAAACGGGCTATCTTGCGTCGACCTCGGAGCTTTCGACCAGTCTGAACTAGTGCTGGACGCTCTCCGAGGAGGCTCGGGCTTCGGGGGCTCGCTGTCTTGGCACGGACGCCAACGGCGGCAGCACGAGGCGAGTTTCTGAGCAGGGCAAGCGTTTCAAGAAGGCTCAGCGCTCAGCGCGTGACTGCCAACGTGCAGCAGTTGCGGGCGGCGGGAGCCGACGTCAGCACAATTATTAGGGGGTCTCCAACAGCTACTGCCGTTTGGGGTTCGGCTGTGACGGGGATCCCTGACATAAACTGCACGCCTGAAGGGTGTCGGCCCTGAGAGCGGAGGGCCGTCTTCCTTTGGGCTCCTCGGTGGGCCTGCGCCTGAGGGTTTCGCCGCGGGGGCCCTTCCATGATCCTTGGGTCGCTCACGTCGTCGAAGTCGCGGAGCCCTGGGCACTGGCGGCTGCCTCGAACCTCCCAGGGCTCGGGCCCATGAGGACCGTTCGGGAGGCCGGCCGAGGGTTGTTGAGCAAGCCCAAACCACGGGCCCAGTGTGCGGACCCCGCGCAGGCGACCCTCCTGGCTCTGTCTCGGGAGGGAGTCTCGATGCCTTCTGCGCTTACGACCAACGTTTTTGGTATCGAGTATTCCTTCCAGAAATTCAGCGCGGGCTTTCTGTGCGAGAGAGCTCGAGAGTCCGCTCTTGCTGCATCGGACGTTTTGTCGACAAAGCGACTGCCCGGTGCCTGGGTCAGCCAGTTACACTGGGTTCATCTTGCGTGGTTGCTCGGCGAAACGACTGGCGATACCTGGAGCTCGCAAAATTATGCGGCGCTTCGAAGCCTCGTTGGCGGCAGCCACTGGACACAATCGAGATTGTTCAGTCATCGCAAGAGTCAGCATGACAGGTGTGTGTTGTGCGGGCAATAATGGACTTTGTACCACAGGTTCTATGAATGCGCCTGCATGGAGCACATCCGTCGCGAAGAGTGCCGGGCCTTTTTGCGGAGGGCAGCGCGGGCAGTGAGTGAATCAAATGAGGCCCACGGAGAGCTGTTTGCCAGGTGTCTGTTCCCAACGCCTCGATGGAGCTTTCCCCAAGTGGAGCCTGAGGTCAAGATATGGTGAGAGGGAGTTCCTGCGGGCTTGAAGTGTTCCGGGTCCATTTTTGTTGATGGCAGTGCTTAGCACACCTCGCTCTCAGGCATCAGCAGAGCAGGGGTTTCGATTGTGCGGATAGATAGGGCTGGCACGGTCGTGGCTGCTTGCTATGGCAATGCACCCTTCCATGTAGCTCCACTCCAGCAGGCTCGCGATGGAGAGGACATGACTCTTTCGGCTCTCGCGAAACAGTCTGAGTGGATTGAGGACAACCCATTGCATGTATATTCCGACTGTGCCGCTTCTATTGGTTGTACTGGCGACCCAGGAGTGGCCCTAGCGACCATGAACCCCCGCCAACACTTCTGGAGGGAGTGGTGGAGCGGGATTGGCCGCCGAGCGAGCGTGTTTAAAATAAGGGTGCATGTAGGTTTGCAGGACGTCAGCTGTGATCACGAGGCGTGGCAGGTCCGTGGCAACGGAACTGCGGATAAGTACGTCAAGCTAGGAGCTAGATTGTGGCAGGTGCCCGCCCAGCAGGTCTTGTTCGTGCATGGCCTTGAAAGACTGGCGGTCGCGGCCGCCCGGTGGCATGCGAGGGCCCAGCAAGTGTTTGGGGCTTCGGGGTTTGCTGACTCGGAAGGCGGTGCTGGGACCTCGGATGTCACTCTAGACTGGAAGCGACCTCCTGGAAGCGGAGTGAAAGAGGTACGGAGCTCGTCCTCCGTTTGAGGATTTGGAGGGCGCGGCACTTGTGGGCTTGGCCCCTGCTGCTGCCCCTTCCGTCCCTCCTCGTCCTCCTCCCGCCGACGGTTTGCTTCCGAGTTCGGGGGTTCCTTGGACTTCGAATGGGCAGGCGGCCCTCGTTGTCTTCGAAGGGGGCTATCAGGTTGCTCCTGGGGACTAGGTCATGTTCTGCAAGGTCTGTCGGGCTTCGATATTGAAACGAGTTCGGTCTGATGAGGACCTGGATGGCCTCTGTGAGGGCTCTGCGGCTCCAGGCCCGCGGACCCAGCGGGCCGGGCTTCGGAACGGGTTCTTCCCAGGGCGTGTCCAGGCCTTGATTGGGGACGCGTCAGGCCCGACCGCCGCGCAGGTGGGCGCCTGGTCGCCCCGCCTGCGATCGCATGTGCGCGGCGCGGATGGCGCTGTCGCGGCGGCGGTCGGCACCGCCGCCGCATCTCAAGGGCTGGGGGGGCGTGCCGGTACGTCGTCGCCGGCCTTGTCGTCGTCGGTCTATGGGCTGAGGCTCCCCCAGTTGTTGATTGATTCGGACTGGGCCTCCCTCCACGGCTTTTCGTCCCTCACTGCTTTGAGATTGCAGCAGGGTGCTGTGGGAGTCGCGCGGAGGCCACGCTGTTCGAACTCCCTCAGGACGAAGAGTGAGCTCGCTTTTATCGCGGCCGTTAAGCCGAGCGTTTCCTTTTGGATTCGGTGTAGTCAGTTTCATGTCTCAGTCTCAGTCTCCTCCTCTGCTGCTGCTGCTTCTCCTCCGCCGCTGACCCCGAGGGCGATGGCTCTAGTCTTGTGTGCCGTCCAGTGGTGAACGGCGGCCATCACGATAACCACTTGGCGGGCGTGGCTGCGTCGCCTCCTTTAAGCTGCAGATCTGCACATTTCTCGGCCGCCTCTCGTCGCGGGCCGAGCCGACGCCCACAGTGGAGTTATTCGCTGGCGTGATGGCCAAATGCTCCGACGTGGGTGGCCCTCGCTCGATCGCAGCATCGCCCGCGGTCATGCGAGCTGCTGCCTGGGCTGCCCGGGAAGAGAACCAGCGGGCGGGGTTAGCCAACAAGCGCCCAAAGGTCCAGAGAGCCGTCTGCCAGACACAGCTCGTGAAGCACATCTCCGACAGCTTCGAGCTCACGGTCCACTCCAGGTTAGAGGCGTTGGGCTCGCCAGCGGTTCCACCTGATCTGGCGACCCGCTGGAGGGCACTGAGGACGTCGCTGAAGAAGAGGCTCTCATTGTGGCAGTGGGTGGTGGCCACGACACTCGCATGAGGCTGGACCACGAGCGATCGGATATGCGCCCCCCCCCATTCGACACCAGTGTGCATTACACCGACAGAGGAAGCTGGACACTATCGCACACTACCTAACATGCGAGCGCGACGCCCCCCGACTATATCCACGTCGACCCACTGGTATTTCTCGGACTGGACTCGGACGCCAAGCGGGCAGCCACGGTTTATTTGCACCCAAATACTCGGCGCTTGGTGATGATCAGTTTCACCGACTAGCCTACGCAGTGGTAGTGAACGAATACGCATGTTTTAAAACATGTGTGGAACACAAACTTACTCGATCTGGTAGAACTAAGACAGAACATCACTTATGAAGCGCAGTAATCAACCCACGGTCGAGGAACATCTGTGTTGCGTGTAGGGCACATTTCTGTTCAACGGAAACCCTCTATCTACCGCGAACTAGTGTTTCGATGAACGTTGGTACCGCGCGCACAAGACCCACCTCGTGGTCCAGAGAGCGGCAGTTGGGTGGTCGGAGGAGACACAATCGATCCACAAAGTATGAGGCTTGGAAAGGAATTCGCGCTGACAGCAGGGATGCGGATCGCCATCTGGCGTCGCAATACCTTCAAGACGAGAACAGCACCGATGGCCACCGAACCCGGCACGACCTCGCACGCAGCGCTGGAAGAAGAGCTGGTCCGCCGAGATTGCGCAGCAGGGGTGCTCGTTTTCGCACGTCTCCCGTGGCTCCGCGGCCTCCCTTGCAGAGAACAAGGACGGGGGCCCAGAGGGCCAGTGCACCAGAGAGGGCGCCCCCGAGGACCCAGAGGACCTGGACGTGGACCCAGATCTCCAGGGCGACGCAGGGGGCGCGCCCGAGGGCTCAGAGCGCCCGTCGTTCTTCATCCACCCCGTTCGCGGCGAGTTCTTCGCCATTGCTGCCAGCGAGCTCAACGACCGCATCTTCGAGCCACTGCCCCTGGCAGGTGATAGTCAACAGTCGAGCTCCTGCAAGTCCATCCCCCCATTAGTATTCCTCCCCATATCGCCGTCCTCCTCCTCTTCCTCTTGGCCCCTCCTCGTGTTCACTCTTTCGCCATTTCCTTGTCGGCATGGTCCTCCCCGGGTCCTCGTACCGATCAGTACTTGCTTCAAGGTGGCATCGCGAGTCCCCCCTCAGGCGCCATGACGGTCACCGGGAAGCCGCCCGCGACAGAGAACATGCGCTGTGTCTACCAAATTGGCGTTGCCAAGTCCAGGCGGCCTCCCGCCGCTCCCCTCTGGGAGGTATGCGATGGGTTCGCGTCGACTCGACACAGCAGCGACCCCCGCGTGGGAGTCCCAGGTTGAGCTCGGGGCTCACGTAACGGGGGTCAGCGCGAAATCCCATCTGGCTGACCTGGCTTTGGGACCACGTGGGGCCGCTTCCCCCTGTCCGCCCTCCGCTGACCAGGGTTTGGGAGCTGCTGAGCGGCCCGCCAGGCTTCGCGACGGGGCTCTGGCCGACCCGGGATTGGGCTGACCCGGGTTGGTGCATCCCCGATGAGCGCCGACCGTGGCCGTGAAGCGACGCAGGGCCGCGATCGGTTAGCGGTCCACGCGGTGTCAGAACCCACCGCGGAAGTCGTCGCGGCAACATCCCGCCGCGCGACCACCAGTGGCTAAAGCTTCGGGAGCGTGGGGCGGGCTGGTCGACTGAGAAGCCACGACACAGATTAGCAGTTCAGTCCTACTGTCCGTCCCTGGCCTAGCGCCGTCGCCGACCACCCTGACTACGGATCCGCCGTACGGTGGGTGATTTCGCAAGTAGGGCGGAAATTGATATCGATGTCCGCCCGACTTTGCCGTCGGTGTGTTGCGCCATGCTTTTATGCGAAAATTCGCGAGGCGACATTTCCGCACTCTTTGTTCGCACCGTTTTGTGTGCATTTCCGACACGTTTCTAGTCGGAAGATCAATCGAAATACGGCGGATCGGGATTCAGGGCAAGGCGCGCGGGCTGGGGAGGAGGACGGAGGAGGAGGGGGGATGAGGGGATGGGGAAGGGAAAAGGGTGAGGCGGAGTCCCGTTTCAGCGAAGTCCGCTCTTCTGCTAGATGCTAGACCGAGCATAGGTCCCGCGCAGAACCGGCAGGGCCCGAACACGTTGATGTGGAGGGGGGGTCTGGGAGGACGGGGGGGCGGAGTGGGGGTTCGGCTGAGCGGGGGAGGGAGAGGGGGAAGGGGAGGGGTGGGCACAGGACGAAGAGGAAGATTGAAAGGGGGGCGGAGGAACGGTGGCAGGGGAAGGGGATAAGGGGATCGGGGGGGGCGGGGAGGGGGAAGGGGATGGGGAGCACCCCAGGGCGCAGGGAATTGGCAAGGGGGAGGGCTCTCCCCCTCTCCCCTCCCTTCATCTCTCCTCTCGTGCATCCTGGCCGCCATCCCCCCACGCATCCCATTCCTCCTTCCCGCTCCTCCTCCTCCTCCTCCTCCTCCTCCTCTTCCTCTTCCTCTTCCTCCTCCTCCTCCTCCAAGTGGGACGTTCGCTCCTCCTCGTCATCCTCGTCACATCATCCTTCTCTTTTCTGGTTCGCCGGTCTCCTCTCGCGAGAGGGCGGTCCGCCGTGGCAGGCCCCCTCCTGGGAGATCGCCCCCCCAAAGGCAGATCCCGCGCTCACCGCCTCCTAGCGGCCTGTTGCGGCAGGTCGCCCGGGTCCAGCGGGAGGGCCCAGGGGGACCTTTTTTGCGTTGTGCGTTTGGCTCCATTCTGCCCAGCGCCGTCTCGGCGAGAGGTGAAGAATATGCCCCAGCAGGTGAGGGGGTCCCTCCCTCCCGTGGCCCATATCCTCCTCCTCCTCCTTCGGCAGGGCACTGGGGTGATGTTGCCTGGAGGCCGTCCACGAGGCTCTGGCCAAGAGGGCGCTCTCCGAGACCCCGCCCCTGCGGGACCCGTAGTCTGCCTCGGCCAAATCAGCCAGCCTCCCTCTGCTCTCCTCGTGCAGCCTCCCTCCTTCCTGCGCGTTCATCATTGAATCTTCAGCTTTTCCTACCATCGTCTTCATGCTCTACATCATTATCTTCATGTTCCCTTCCATATCCTGCAACAGTGCCCTCATCGCCCTCCTTCCCTCTTCACGTCTCCAATTTTCTCCAGCCCCCTTCCCACGCCTCCATCTTATTACACCGTCTCCTCCCGCCTCCCGCCTTCTCTTCCTGCTGCTGCTGCTGCTCCTCCTCTCCTTCAGCGGGGTGTCTGGGGAGGTGGGTGCTTCGATGCTGCTCGACGCGGGGGGGGGGGGGGGAAGGTGGGGGCGATCCATTTCTACGTCGCGTCATCCGACCCGTGGCGCCCAGAATGCCACATGCGAGATCGCGCGTCATGAGCGCTTCTTTGCTGGAGCCAGCGACGAGGCGAGCGCCATTCCGCGGAGCAGCAGGTTGCCCATAGAATCGTCTGTGGGCAGGGCAGGGGCGGAGAAGAAACGACAGACTTTGGGCACGTTGCGCGCACAGGTACATGCCGGTGCTGATCACCGCCTCGTCGCCGATCGGCAGCTCCACGTCGAGGCCTGGTCGGCGTACAAGGGAGGATGCAGTTGTCTTGCGCCCTGAAAAGTCTTGGCGCCGTGATGCCTGTGGGAATCACAGGAGCATCTCCCAGTGTAGGAAAGAACGTTTTTCGTGTGTGCTTGGCAGGCAGAGGAAGATCGTGTTTTAGCAGGCGCGCGTCAGGGGGAGGAGAACGCTGTTCACATGCTCTTGGCGAGGGGGGCATCCGGGTGGGCCCCCCCCCTGCCACCCGCCCGTCGCGTGCGGGGGGGTGGGGGAATTTCCACCCCCACCCCTCGCTTCTCTGGCGCCGGCAAACGACAATCTCGACGATGACGACCACCACAACGACCACACACGACGACCACGACGACGATGACTGACGACGACAGCCGACGCCGACTGTGACGACCAAGAACATCGACGATGACGACGACCGCCCGCCCGCTATAATGTCCCACCCGCCTGGCACGCGCGTTAGGGTTTGCCCGTCCGACCCGCCCATAATCAGGCGATCGCAAACATGGATCAAGGGGGCGTGGATTAGCGACGGGTCCCGTTTCCATGGGAAATCGCGAATTTCCGCCGCCGAGCGAGGCGGCACCGGCCGCATTTCGGGGAGGGCACCTCCCCCGATCCATGGATTTGGCGACCGCGCGCCTAATCCATGTCGGGGGCGTTTACGCGCCCCCGACATCAGGGTCCGCCCAGCCCACCCGCTAGTGTCCGACCACTCGTCTTCACGCAAGCCCGCCCTCTTCAGCGTCTCGCCCGCCCGGCCCGCTCGCTAGGGTCCGCCTCCCCCCCTGTCCGCCCGTCAGCGTTAGCTCGTCCGGCGTGGCCGTAGTGCCCGACCTCGCCGTATGGTTTCCAGGGTTGCACCAGTAAGGTCAGCAGTCGTCGTCGCAGTCGTCGCAGTCGTCGTCGTGAGTTGTCGTCTTTGTTCGTCGTTGTCGACATCGGATTCGTCGTCGTCGTCATGGTCGCCGTCGCTGGCGTCGGCGTGGGAGATGTCATTCATGTTGTCATCTTCGTCGCGGGCGTTGTTGTCATTGATGTTGTAGCTGTCGTCGTCCTTGGGCTCGTTCGTCGTCATTGTCTTGTTGTCGCCGAGGTCGCCGTTGTCGTCATTAGCGTCGTTGTCGGAGTCGTCGCTGTGGTCGTTCATGTAGCCGTTGGTCGTCGTCAACGCCGTCGTTGTCGTCGTCGTTGGTTTTGACGTCGTCGCTGTCGTTGTTGATGTTGTCGTCGTTGTTGTCATCGTTGGTCGTCGTCGGCTTCGTCGTCGTCGTCGTCACCGTCGTTGTTTCGTCGTCGAGTTTGGGGGGGAGGGGCGAGTTGTGGGGGGGCCCTCCAGTTTCGCAGGAATGCCTGGTATTTTTGTTTGCAGAGGGTGGCGAGCCCCCCTGTTTGCGGAGGACCCGCTGGGTTTCTGTTTCTGCTGAGCGCCCTTGAAGGGCGCCCTCTCCAAGGTGGCAATCAGGTCACAGGGAGCTTAGGGCTTAGGGTAGCAGCAAGACGTCGGGGTACCCTTTGCGCCGGGCTCCGCTTGCGGTTCAAAAAGCATCCTCCTCGACCAAGAACAGCATTCCAGAGAAAGTTGGGCCGATCTTTCGCCAGAATGCGCAACCTTCGTCGTCGCTCTCGCTCTTGTCCTCCCTACTCCTCCTCCTCCTCCTCCTCCTCCTCCTCCTCCTCCTCCTCCTCCTCCTCCTCCTCCATGACCTCCTCTTGCACACTTGGTCCTCCAGCGAGCAGCTGCGTGCCACTGCTGTTGCTCTTCACCTCATCCTCAGCGCTCTCAACTCCCAGCAGAGGGAAGAGGTGTTCGGCGAGGAGGGGGCGATCCGTCTCTTGGAGAGGCCCGCCCGCGGGCTCTCGGCAGGAGGTCTGTCGCCGCTCGGGCGCTCTTCCTCTCCTAAGTGAGCTAGGTCACCGAGGAGCCTCATCAGTCGGTCCGGGCCTCCTCCGTCACCTCCTCCTCGTCCTGCGGGAGGGGCTCGCGGCCTCGACGCGGGTCGGGGAGCATCCGTCGCCGCGGTCCCCAGGATCCTCGAGTACGCTCAGCTACAGCCCACTGGAACCCCAGCAACAGCTTCGGGTATTCATTTCGCTCGAACGACAAGTCCAACAATTTCGCCAAAATTTGCAACTTTCGCGGGAGGAGGCTTCAGGCGTTGAAAGTCTTCGCCATGAGGAGTGCGCGGGCGGCCTCAGGCACCGGGGGCCGGTGCACCAAAAGGCGTGCGGTCTGTCCAGGCTGCAGGGTGGGGGGGCAGCGCCGTTACCACCTGAGGAGCAAGCCGTCATTGCTGGGCGGCAGGCGACATGCCGTTGGTGAGCCAGGGTCGTCGGCGGTCGTTATCAGGAGGTCTGGCGTCCTAGAGGTGGCTAGGCTTTGCCAGAGTTTCCTTGCGCCTGCCCGAGGCTCTCGACATACCGCGGGACCGCCAGCCGCCAGCGGATGACGTCGTTGGTTCCAGAGCTGCCCGGAAGCTCGTCACGTCGGCTGGTCTCTTGGGGGGGGGGGGCAGGAAACAGCACCAGGCATTCGGAGATCAGGGGCGCTGCCACATCGGTATCCCTACGACTCCCCCTTCCCGAGTTTCCCGGGATGTGGCCGCGTCGGGAGGGCGGGATGTGCAGCACAATGCGCCGTGCTGCAGGGTCGTAGGGAGCGGAGGGCGAGGAGTGAGGGGGAGAAGGAGGAGAGGACGGGGCAGGGGGACGAAACCAGAGCGTAGCCCTCGGCGGGCGCCCTGCGCACACCTCGTATGCCTGGCGCCGCGGGCCATCCCCGTGCAAGCTGCGAGTCGGGCGCTGCGTCGCTGGCAGGCGCAGAGCAGAGATGTTGTTTCTGGTATCCTCTGGCTCGTAGCGGTCGCTACCCGGGCCCCCAGCTCCCCCCCCCTGGGTAAGGGTAACGATCGTGCTTAGACGGCGAAGAGGGTGGGCCAGGCCCCCCCCCCCCAGATACTGGTGCTCGCGCGCATGCTGTGGCGATCGCGGCGCACGCCCGCCCTGACGTGCCCCAGCCTGCTCAAGCATTGCCGTCCCCCTTCCGCCCCCCCCCCCCCTCCCCACGGAAACGACCGTTATCAGAAATAAGAGCAAAATGCGATATCATAGAATAGTGCACGGCAGGCGCCCTGGAGAGCAGGCTATTTGGTCGAGAAGGTGTGTTCAGCATTCGGCGCTGAGGAGTTACCATCAGGGGCACGGCTCGATTGGATCTTCAGCTCACTGCCTCAGCGCGCGTCACTGCCCCTGCGCGGTGCGAAGGAAACGCGAAGGAGATGGTTTGAGGCTATGCCCCACCGCGCCTTGCCCAGCTCGACTGGGTGTAGAAGGTGCACAGCCCAGGAGATATTGAGGGAGAGGTTTAAGAGAGAGATGAGGGGTAGAAGATGCAGGAGGAGAGAGACGATACAGACATAGAGGAGAGGATGGAGAAGGCTGGAGCAAAGCGATGGGCAAGATAATATGATGCACGGAGAGGGGATGGAGAAGAATACGCATACGGATGAGAGAGGAGGGAGGGGCAGGATGGGATAAGGACGGAGGCGGGGAGAGAGAGGAGACGGAGGCAGGGGATGGAAAATGGATGGAAGGAGGGGTGAAACTGCAATAATGAACACCCTCTCTGGCGCCTGGCCGAGGCAGTTGCACCCGCCTTTGAAGACCATAGACTTCCTCGAAAACAAGGAGTTGAACAAGATTGTGCTCGGGCCAGGGAATCCCTCTCCTCCCGCTCCCCTCCCCGAGCACAAACCTTGCAATGTGAAGCTCCCGCACGTGATCACGATGGACGAGGAAGTTGAGAGCACAGGCACAATGGATCGTGGGGAACGCACTTGTGCAACCTGTGTGTTGTCACAAGGTGGCGTACACGCGTCTTGCGGAATCGCCCTGTCGATTCGCATGGGGAGGGTGGGCCGTTGCAGGCAGGGGGGTCCAGTGGCCGATGCACGCTGAATGTGTTGGGGGTTACGGTGTGAGGAGAGCTTCGGCGGGGCTTGATGACCATGACCCCCCTTGCGGTCATGTTGCCAGTGCTGGTTGGCCGTGATCCCCCTCGCGGTCACAGTGCTCTCGATCCCTCCAGGTCAGCACTCTCGGCGACACGTCCTTGCAGCGACTGTCTTTTCGCGCGCCTTCCCGCACTCCGTTGCTGGTCTGGCTCATGTGCCCGGGCGCGTTTTGTGTGACATGACGACCTGTGTACGACAGCGTGGGGTCAGAGTCAGCGGTGGCAGAGAGTCGTGAGGAGGAGTGGTGGGTCCTAGCGGGAATTCCTGGACAGGGCCTTGGCATTTGACGTCAAATTATGTTGTGCATCATTGCCGTTTCCGAACCGCGAGGAGGAGCAGATACGGGAGGGGGAGAGGACAAGCTGGCTGCGCTCGCGTCATGTCTGACCTCCTACCCTTCCCTCCCATCCCTTATCATGGCGTAGATATTCTCTCTATTCGCACAGTTGGATGTCAAGCAAGGCAATGATCACGAGAGGGTACGCGATGCATGATAGAGCACATCATGGCATGGCGTAAAAGATCGCGGCAGAGCGTAGCATGCCATAGCATGGCGTGGCATTGCGCAGTGAAGCATTGCTTCACAAAGCATTGTAATGCAAAGCGTGGCACCGCACAGCGGCGCAGAAGACAAGACCACACAGCATGTCATTGCATGGCGCCAGGTTCTTTGGAGGGTAAGTGGATCGTCTTCGAGAGGTCTGGGCCGGTCTGGAGTCGTGGCTCCATGTCTAGCTCCTTGGGCTCCCCGAAAAGCTCCAGTTTAGGCTGGGCTGATGGAGAGCACCCGCTGGCTCTGCTTTTAACATTGCATTCTCAAAGCAGAAACGGGGCTCCCGGTTGATCCTTCCTGAAAACGACGTCGACGACCCAAAGTGTGGGGGGGGGCTTCTGCGGCCCAAAATCAACGAATCGACACCGACTCTGTAATCATTTCCGATGGTTTTCTCGGGTGGCCATTTTCCAGATTCGGGGGCCTATTTTGGAAGGAAGGCCAGCGCTGGAGCGGGAGCGCGATTGGGAACAAGCGGAAGCGCGGAAATGAGGCCAGCGCTGCAGCGGGAGCACCATGTTGAAAAACCCCAAAGCGAAAACCCACTTCCCAGGAATCCCGTGTGTGAAAAACAATACGCGGAGGGGGGCCGAATATCTTCTGAACGACATCGGAGGAGAGAGGAGAGTAGTATTCATGTTGTGTAAGTGTGAAGGGGGCAGAGAGAGGAACGTGTTTCCGGGTCGCCAGGTGGGGGACAGCTCTAAAAGCGGCCGCTTGAAGCAGCCGGACGTGCGGCGGTCCGAGGTGCAAGCTTGCTTCCCTCCACCCGCCTTCTGTGTGCGTTTATTTATTTCCTTCAACTGTTCCTTCACACTCCGTCGTTCCCTCCTGTTCAGTATGGTTCGTGCAGCCAGGGCGCTGAAATAAGGATCAGGGCGTGCTCGCAAGGGGCTCACTGTCCCTTAGGTCAGTCCATGGCTATTCCTCTAGCGCTCCTAGTATCGCCTAGGCTATGCTGGGGCCAGGAAAGGGCTTCGTTCCTTGTTTTGTATTCCTTCTGGTACCAGCTTGACTCTACTCCCTCCGTCGTTCGCTCGCCTTCCTACTCCGCGCTGTTCTTGTCACGCTGACCTCCCGTGGTGCTGGCTCCGCGCTTCTTCCTGCGTCTTTCGTTGCCAATCGCCACCCCTCAGACCAGGGCAGATGAAGAGACAGGGGCACGCGTGTTCGCTAGCTGGTTCTCCGATACTCGTCGGTGGGGGTAAGAGGCACCCCTCTGAACAGGGCCACGACCGTTTGCTTGCGAGGGGATGAAATTGGAAGCGCAGCCAGGGTGCTGGCGCGGGGTGACGGTGAAGGAGGAGGAAGGAAGTCATGAATACGAGTGCGATAAGGAATTCACATACTAAGCACAGTCCAGTGTGGGGGTTACTTGGCGTGTCTCCGCTGGCTCTCCTTTGGCGGAGTGCTGGGCTGGACAGGTTGCCCAGCGCCATTGGTTCCAGTATCCGTGGCGTCGACATTGATGGCCCTCGTGGGTTCAGAGGTGGTACGGGTGAATGGTATTGGCTGGGCCACCTCGACATGATGAATTGCAGGCTGGGCCTTCTCTCAGTTCAGTCGGCTAGAGCTTCGCTCAGCGCAGTGCAGCGTTGGCGTCGCGTGGGCCATGTCCCACAAAGTTTGCTCGAGTCTTTGTGGCTTAGTATAAAGAGGTCTTGTCCCAGCGCAGCATGGCTCCACTTAGGGTGAGCTGCGTGTGTAAGGCGTTCTTGGTATGCGCAGCCTAATACCAGTTTAGATCTCTCGCGGGACAAACGACTTTCCGCGTTTCGCGTGTATCTCCAACTGACAGCAGGAGGGGGGGAGGATGAGGGGGGGGCAGCAGACAGTTGGTATTGGGGTTGAGGGCAGGCGGGCCCATTAGTTCGGCATGTCCACCAACACAGCTATTACGCCCGTGATGATCTCAAGATGTTTGGCGCTCTTCGGTGGCAGCATAGTTCGATTCCAGATTGGTTTGATTCTTTCTGTGCGTTGTTTGGGTGGTTATTGTTGTGAGGTATTAGTTGTTGTCGTGTTCTGGGTTTATGTGGGAACTGGGAGCATTATTGCGTCATTGTTGCTATTATTTCTGAGCTTTATTCTGTTTCCCGCGCTGCTTCTGACCTTAGGGCCGCAGTACCCGGTGGCCGCTTGGGTTCACATGGGCTGCCACGCGCCCCCCATTGGCCCCGGACGCGATATTTTCCGGTGGCTGACTGAGCCTTCATGGACTCATCATGTGCCTTCGCCGCCCGCTGGCCTTGGGTGCCACGTGTTCTGGCGGCCGCTTTGGGTCTTACGATTCACGTGCGTCCCTCGCTGGCCCTGGGTGCCGCAGATTCCGCTTCCTAAACCAGGCCGGCACCGACGCTCCCCCCAATATTGTAAAACCTACATTGCGCCCGCTTCGCGCTGATCTAGCATTTGCGTTTTGTATCCACTCCTACTAACTGACGCCATGTGAGCCACATGCGCGCGTCGCCGCGGACGAGAGGAGAGATAAATACAATACTGCAACATACTGTACATACGGAGGGCACATATGAAGAACGTATTGAGCAAGGTCAAGTAAGAGATGTCGAACGAGCTCGTGGGGCTGGCGCATTCCCCACCCCCCCTGACACAACACATCATAATCAGTCCTGGCACTTGTTTTTTGTGTTGGAACGCGTTCCCATCCAGCGATCGGAAGGCGATCGCGCGCGATCCGCTTCCGACGGCTTTCTTAAGTGGGGCCCGTCCTTCTACAGGGGGAATATTCAAATTTTGTTTAAAAAAAAAACAGTCGGTGGACGATTTTTCAATATTTCATGACAATGTTGGAGCATTTCTCGAGTATTCTTAAATTTTCGTCAAGAACCCCCCTGTAGGGGGACACGCCCGACTCAAGATTTAGCGAAGTGCACGGTACGCTGGCCGCGCACGGGCGAGTGCAGCAACGTTCCCGATGAGCGCGGCGAAGTCGGTACCAGGGTTGGACCTAGACGCTGGTTTGCTGAACTTCGGCTGTGTTTTGTTCTTCGTTTCGGCAGGGAGGTGCAGGAGAACAGGCAGAGCAAAACGAACCACAATACGAAACAAACAACGAACAACAACGTTTAGGTTTCGGTCCAGCCGTGGTCGGCACATGCGCCGCACCCCAGCAGCACCACCACGTTTACGGCGCGGCGCTTATGGCGAGGACCGCACGTCGCCCGTTTTCGCGCACCACGCTTCCCCGCTGCCGTTTTTTTCTCCAAAGGCGGCGAACGGAACATATGGTGGGGGAGTTGGTTAATGCGCCCAGGGGGCTTCAGACCCTGGAAGATTCTCTATTTTTATGAGGGCGGCGGTGATCTTCATGATGTGCCTGGGTTCCACCACCACCATGCGTTTGAGGGGGGAATGAGGTGGAGGGTGAGGAGGAGGAAGAAGAAGAGGGGGAGGAGAACCCCCTCCGCCCTCCAACTTATGGTGATGGTGGTGGAAAGCAGGCCCATCTATCCATGGCCAAGCCTCAATTGGAGTTCCACCAGCCTCCAGACTCTGGCTTCATGATCAAAGGGTTCTTCATCCATTGTCCTCACCGCACTTCGCGTTCGCGCGGTAACCTTTTCGAGCGAAATGGGGATAGAGCTCGGGCGAGGGCGACATGTCGCTTGCCCGCACGGGCCCCAAGACTTTGGCGGGTGAAGTATCTGCGCCGCGCCGGGGCGGGAGCGTCACGTCCAGGTGAAATCTGCGCAGTGCCGAAGCGAGAGCAGCATCCTCGCCGACTCTCGCGTCGACGAGCCGGCGTGCGGAGGAAGGTGTGCTCCGCGCCCGAGCGGGGGCTTTAAGTCACAGTGAAAACGGAATCGCCGAGGCGAGAGCCACATTTCGAGTTCTCGCGCCAGATGTGCGCCACGTCCCACTCGGACCTCGCATCTTGCAGCGCTGGTTCCCAGTGTTCGGCAAAGTAGGCGTACATATACTTCGCGCCCCGCAGTTGCGAGAGTGAGGGGGCGGCAGGGTCGTCGGCAGTCTGCCAGGTGTTGAAGAAGCCCGCCAGAAGCGCCGATTTTTCGTCAAAGCAACGTGGGTGGGTCGCGGGTGGATCGCGGGTGGGCCGCGGGGTGGGTCGCGGGGTGAGTCGCGGGGTGGGTCGCGGGCGGGTCGCGGGCGAGGACGCCGACAACAACAACCACACTCAGTTTTAACCTTCATGCGCCATGCTTGTAAGCATTAACGTGCCACATGCATCCATCATGATTCCACCCTTCTTGAGAGAATAATATGAAAAGGGGGGCGGGTCTTCCCACACCCAAATCTTCCTCCCAAGGAGGTCGAGCTAACACATCTCCCGAAGCACTTTCCCATTTTCAGCTTGCAAGACACGTGGAATGCAGCGCGACTCTGGGGAGCGGTGAAGATTCCAACCACGAGAGATTCGAGCCCCAGGAGAAGTGCATCATGTAGGAACGGACGTAATACACGAAGGATGCGACTTCCAGCCGAGGGGCAAAAGCTAGGAACATACGTAGAGCACAAGTAGATTCGAGCCCCACGAGAGGGGCAACATCTAGGAACGGACGCAAAGCACCAAGGAGTCGAGCTCGAGGAGACGGACAATCCATAGGAACATACACGAAGGACTCGTGCCCCAGCGGGGGCGGTGAAGATTATGGGGGCCAAGCCCATGAGGGCGAAGCCTACGGGGGGCCGAAGAGCACTCCCCGAACATATATCCCAACACAAAGATTGTTCCAGAGGCCTCTTGTGGCCTCCTGGGGCCTCCTAGGGGCGGGGGGGCCGGAACACGCTCCCCGAACATATGTCCCAATACAGAAAAATGCCTTCTGGGCCTCGTGTGAGCGGAGGGGCCGAAAAGCGCTCCCCGAACACGTTTCGATACAGAGTGTCTCCTGGAGCCTCCTCGGGCCTCTTTAGAAGGGAGGGCTGGAGAAGATATTCCTGGAGCGTTCTGGGGCTTGCTTGGGCCTTTGCAAGTGACGGCGAGACTGCTCTGACGGATTCATCTGTGTTGCTGATTGCGAGGAAGTCTTACGCAAAATTGCCGTTTGGGCGTCTGCGAGTAGCAGCAATAATGTTCCGAAGGACCGCCCTGTGGTGCTGACGTGCGAAGAATCCCAGGCGAACAGCCTCCGGAAATGACGGCAAGACTGCCTGAGGGATTCCCGTGTGCTGCTGAATCGCGAGGAAGTCTCAAGCGGAACGGCCGTTTTGGCATCCGCCAGAAGCACCAATAATGCTCTGAATGAACCCCCCGTGGTGCTGAAATGCAACGGAATCTCAAGCGAAAACACCGCTCAGGCATCCGCGAATAGCAGCAATTAAGTTCTGAAGGGCCAGTTCGTAGTGTCAAATTGCGTGGAAGCCTGAAGCGAAGAGGCCGTTCAGGCATACGCGAGTAGCAGCGAGACTGCTCTGAAGGACCCCTTGTCGTGGTGTGCTGGCAGGGCATATAACGTAAGCTCAGAATGGGAGAGAGATCAGGCAGGCGCTGAGTACCCTCTATATCATGAGAAATCAGTTGTGATGGGTGTTCGTGCGTAGTGCGTAATGCACGTGCAAATACACATAAACAGATATGTTAACATACTCTTACATAGACATGAACAGAAACGCATATGCGGGAGACCAGGACTTGTTGACAGAGTTACCTGTGTATAGATATATAAAGATGGGTATATATGTAGACTGTGCTGTGCAACTGCATACATTTACGTAAATATGGAGACTGGTAGATATGAGTATCGGTCGATCGATGCCGAACTTGTTAGATACACGTACTGCGAATCCGACCCAACGCCAATCGCGGTCCGAAAAGGTGCACTATCCCCCCAAACCCTCTTTATCACACGTGAGGTGGCCTTATAGCTATGGTGTCTAGTCGCCGTGCCTACCCTTGTGGAAGTCGATTAATGGAGAGGAAGCGTGCTGTCAACCAATTTCCAGATATCTAAAAATGCTTCAAGCATGTCTTAAGCATGTAAAAAATGTTTGAAACATGTTTAGACCATGGTTTACACATGGTGAACACATGGTTAGTTCAATCATAGGATTGTTAGGGTGTCCACTGTCATGGCATCCACGAGCCTACCCAGCCATCATCTGGACGAAATCGACCATCGGGGAACCATCGGGACATGGGCGGCCCGCCGCCCGTGCCCCGCCGACCGTTGGAGTCAACAGCAGGAGCGGGGCAACAGCCATCTGTCCGTCCTCGACCTCCTCCTCCTCCTCCTCCTCCTCCTCCTCCTCCTCCTCCTCCTCCTCCCCCATCCCCCCCCCCTCCCCCTCCCCCTCCTCCCCCTCGTCTTCCTCCCCCTCCTCCCCCTACTTCCCCTCCTCCTCCTCCTCCTCCCCCTCCTCCCCCTCCGCCCGTCCAAATGACTTGGGCAGCTTGCGCACGGCCTCGCACGCGCACCACGCACGACAGGAGCACGAACTTCGGTTTCCCGTTGGGCGGAACAGATTCCAGGTACGCCTTCACAGCTCCACCTTTCGACGCACACGTTGTTAACCAGGGCTTACGGGCACATGGAACTCACAAGTGCATTATTCAGCAGGTGAATTGCGCCTATATGTACAAACTGTTGCAGAGCACGGCTACCAGCCCCGCAGTCGAGAAGAAATAGCCTCCTCCCCGTACCACTCCTCCCCTCCACCCCTTGTTATCACGTATCCATTTCCTCTCTCAATGATCTCCCTCCCGCCCAGGCACCCCTCCCCCCATCACCCGTCCTTTCTCGCTTTCCTTTCCTCCCCCCCATCCTCCTCACTCCCCTCTACAAGTAATTATTCAATATGAATACTGTTCCCCCTCACCCCTCAGGAGGGATCGCGCCCACCTCCCCATATTGCTTTTCCACATCGGATGCCTGTGAGTTGGACTTTTGTATTTGCGTTTCCCATCCGAACATCTTGGTTCTTCCATCATGCTGGGACTTCCGCTCGATCCGAATCGTAATCCCGCTGCAGCGCTGTCCTCATTTCTGCGCTTCCGCTCGATCTGAATCGTGTTCCCGCTGCTTCGCTGGCCTCGTGTCTGCGGTTCTGCTCGTGCCGACTCCTGCTCTCGCTGCAGCGATGGCATGCAATGCAATTCTACGGTGTGTCCGCTGTGCGATGCCATGACTTCTGCTGCCATGCAAAGACATGCAGTGATTGACCTCGCATCGCCACGCCATGCTCTGGCATGCTACGTTTCGATGTTCAACGCCATGCTTTGCTTTGTACTGCTATGCCATGCAACGACATCCGACTGTGCGAATAGGGATGAGATCCACGCCATGGTAAGGGATGGGAGGGAGGGGTAGGACGTCAGATAAGATGATTGCCCGCCCAGCTTGCCCCGCCTCTCTTAGCCTTTCCACCCATCCTGGAATATGTCTTCCACTCTCTCCATGCCCTCATCTGCTCTTTCTTCGCTTCCCTTCCCTTTTCATCGCTACGCATCCTCATCCTCTTACCTCTTCCCTCCTCTTCCCGTTCTTTCCCTCGTCATCCTCGCCTCCCCATCTCCTCTTCTCGTTTGCCCTTCCGCAGACTTCCCCAACCCCAGGGAACCGCGTACTCGAACAACTTCCAGGGTCACACGGGCAGGCGCACTGCTATTGCTCACCCGGCGTGGTCAGACTTCTGGGTCGTCGGTCGTGGATTGGGCGAAGGGGGAGGGTCCGGTCAGAATGGGTGGGGCGAGCGACGGGGGTGTAGGGGGGAGAAAAGGTGAGGAGGTGCGGAGGAGGTGGGAAAAGGGAAGAGGGAGGCGGCAGAGGAGGTGTGGAGGAGGCTGGGAAAGGGACAAGAAGGGACGGGCATACGGTGAAGTGATTGTGGGGATAGGGGAACGGAAGGGCGCGGCAGGAGGAGTGCTGTGACGGAGGTGGAATGGGGATGAGGCGGTATTGAGGGAAGGGGATGGATAAAAGTGATTGTTGAGGCGGATGATGTGGTTTGTCGGCTGTGGTGACCAGATGCGGCTACCACACCCATCGAACCCAGCAGTATTATCGCTCGTGCTGGTCTCTTTCTCTCCCCCTCTCTCATTATTCATGTGCTATGTTTCTCTCTCGTTCTCTCTTTCCCTGACTTTGTCTAATCCATTTGAATATCTCTCTCTCCCACCGCCTCTCGCGCGCGTCTGCGTGTGCATGTAAGCAGGTGTACGGATCTGTCGATCTAGAGCTTGTTTGGCAGAGGAGGCGTTGGGCACCTATGCGGCCCACCGCGTGACCAACTCCACCAGGGCTGCCGCGCGACCAACTCCACCGCGCGACCCGCTCCTCCAACGAAGTGGTAGCTGCCGGGAGCCTCGCAGCTTCGTCCTTGGCCCCATGATTGTCTCATCCGCCCCGTTCCCCCCATCGACCCTCTGCCTCTTGCTGGATGTTCGATACCTTCCCATCCTCGCTGATCGTCCTCATCGAGTCGAGTTTCCTGTCCTTCCCAGTTCTGGGGGATGCCAGCCAGCTACGGGCAGCAGCAACAGGTGGGGACGCAGCGTGCTGGCTCGACACTCTGCATTCTGTCCCTGTCTGAGCCACTCCCCGCTTCTCCTCTTCCTCGTCCCCTTTGCCATTCGTCGAAGCAAACATGTGCGTGAAGGCGGGACGTGGCAGTCGACGCCGCGGAAAACAGAAGAAGCAACGCAAAACAGATCCCGACGGGCGTCCAGCTACAACCATACATGCCCTACCTGCGGTAGGCTGCAGGGCTCGTGGCTTCGCTAGCAAACTGTCGGTGGCCCCACCGAAGATTCCGAACACGGCAGATCGTTTACGGAGTGTCGGACGCTTATCCTCGTCTGCCGGGGAGAACCCGCGGCGGTTGTACCCGGTTGCGGACCGCGTTCGAAAGAAAGCATACTGGAGGAGGAGGAGGAGGAGGAGGAGGAGGAGGAGGAGGAGGAGGAGGAGGAGGATGAAGAGGAGGAGGAGGAGGAGGAGGAGGAGGAAAAGGGAACAGGGGAAGCGTGCGATGCCGTTGTGCCCACTTTGCCATCGGAGCAGGGAGGAGCGGAGGGAGCGGAGGAGAGCGCAGGGAGGAGAGGAGGCGAGGGACGAGGCAGGGAGAAGGGGGGCGGAGAGGGGAGAGGCGGCGCAGCGAGGGAGGGGCAGGCAGGAGCGAGGCGAGGGAGAGGGGAAGTGAGCGAGGGGCGGGCAGAGAGGGGGGGGGGGCAGGGAACGCATGGGGGGGGGGCCCTCGCCGGAGGCGCCTCGAAGAGGCCGCGCGCCCGCTGGTGGGCCCGGAGGCGCAGGGCGCGTTCTCCTCCTCCCTGGCGGGCCTGGTGGCCCCAGGGGTGACCTCGGCGCGGGCCCCGGCAGCTCCGCCGAGGGTGTTCCTCTGTCGTCGTCGTCGTCGTCTCCTCCTCCTCCTCCTCCTCCTCCTCCTCCTCCTACTCCTCCTCCTCCTCCTCCTCCTCCTCCTCCTCCTCCTCCTCCTCCTCCTCCTCCCCCTGCCTCCTCATTCTCTTCATCCTCATCCTCCTCCCACCTCCTCCTCCTCCTGCTCCTCCTCCTCCTTCTACCTCCTACCTCCCAATTCCTCCGGCGACGTGCTCGTTCAGATCCTGGTTGGCCCTATTGCCGGTCACGCTACTACTATGCGCTGGACTGCTGCTGCTGCTGCTGCTGCTGCTGCTGCTGCTGCTGCTGCTGCTGCTGCTAACGCCAACAACATTGATGACGCAACCCAGAAGGCTATCTCTGCCGAGTTCACCGCCGCCTTCGCCGACCCCCTCGCGGCCGCGCAGTGGCTTTGACGGAAGATGGTCACCATGGTTCGAGAAACCCTCCCGCGAGGGCCTGAATATCGCCTTCTGGAACTCACGAGCTCTACTTGGACGCTCGGATGTACGACGGCTCTTCAAACGCAAGCATCTCCTTCCTCTTCTGTGACAGCGTGCGGTCCTAGCTTTGCAGGAGACGCACGGCGCGCAGGAGGACCTCCAATACCTGGCCGACTCGACCGAGCACAGCTATTTCGCCTCCCACTCCCAGCTCCAGACCAATCGCGAGAGCACCAGCGAGCCGCCGTGCTACTCCATTATCGCTGGCTGGGTAGGCTTCCGGGTGCCATGCGACAAGGCCGAGCGAACCCGCCCACCTGAAGGGCGACCACTTCGCGAGTTCGAAGTCATCGTTCCAGGAAGAGCGGCTTGGCTCAGAGTAGCGGGCGCTCAACGCCACACGGACGTGACCATCCTGACCATGCACAATCACGACCTCACACCGCGTGATCGACAGGATCTTCAGCAACAGTGGCTGTGCCTTCGCGCTCATGCAGATGAGCGTCCACATGAACGACTTCTGGTGACGCTGAGCGATTTCAACGTCTCGGAGCACCCGCCCAAGAGCCTCAACTCGCCAGTCGACTCCGACACCACGGCGGCGCAGAGGTACCAGCGCCCGCCCGTCTTCTGGCGCAACCTCTTCAAGGACATGATCGAAGTAACCGCTCTCTCGACAACGCACAGGAATACCTCTACCATGGCCGAGTCCACGATAGACCGCTGTTTCATCTCGCTGCCCGCCCACGCCATCCCCAACATGAAGACGCTGCTGATCGTGAACGACGCACCACTGGAGGGCCCCAGCGGCATGGACAACGACCACCAGATCATGCACCTGCGCATCCGACCGAAACAACAACGCCCTCCTGCCGAACGTGGCATCCCTGCCTTCATCTTCAATTCGCCGCACTACCAGAACCATATCGAGAAACTCCTGGACATGATTTACACCTCTGCCATGACGCCCACGTCCAAGTGGAAGGTGCCCAAGACGGCCACGGCGGGGGCCGCTCAACTAGCCAGGAACACTGCGTCTTCCATTGCGACAGCCGGGCTCAACCGCCAGCCAGGTCCCATTGCGAAAGAAGTACGTGCTATGACGTTCAAGAGTATTGCAAGAGCCATTTGGTTTCAAGACGCCCGCCTGGCGTCCATCACGATGGACAACACCGAGCTTGCCGCGAACCAGCTGCAGGCGCAGAACGGGAACGCGTCCCTGTCCGACCCCTCTGACTTCAAGCTGGAGACGGACACCACCCACACTGCCCTCATTGAAGAGCGCAAGGCCGAGGCCGCCGCCCGCTCAGGCGTTGCCTACGCCGAGTCGATCTCGCAGTTGGGCGACCGCTGGAGGCAGAAATCCAGACGGGAAGAACGGCGAACAGAACTCGGGAAACCGTTCTCCAAGCGTCTCATCCTCACGGGCATCAAGATCGTGACAATATCAAATGCCAGCATCACGGCAGACCCTGGCCCCATGCACTCAGCCATCATGAACCACTGGGCCCCGATCTCTGCCGCCAAGCACGTCGACGAACATGCCATCGCCGCCTTCCTTAACAACATATTCACCCAACGCCCTGAACGTGACCTACCTGTCCCTGATGCCGCCTGTCTTGAACGCGCCGCCCGCCATGCCCATGACTCAGCACTTGGACCCGGCTGACTGCCATGCCGTGCCTGGTTGCAAACTCCATCCGCCTTCAACGCGCTCGCCGACCTCGCCGAGGACATTTCGGACTCTACTCGATCACGCCGCCGTTCGACCTCAACTTCTCGCTCATGGCGATGCCCCCCCCCAAGGGCGACGAGCCCCTCGGCGTCGCGGAGTACGCGCGCGCGCCTGACTGCCTGCGCCCGCTCTCCATGACAAACGCGGATATCAAACTTACCGCATCAGCTGCCAACCGATCTTTTCATGCTATCGCTGCCGACACAGCACATGAACATCAAGGTTTCGTGCAAGGGCCTCAATTCCCGCGCAACGTGGCGGCGGTGGACACTAAGGCCCGCCGCCCTGCATGCATGCCGGAGCGAAGGATGACGAGCCCGTCTTCATCAGTATGGGCATTGCAATTGCGTTCCCGAGTCTCGGACATCAGTGGCTATGGATGGTGCTTTCTCGATGGGGCATCGCTGGCCGTGTGATTAAGCTCTTACGCGCGTGCTATTTCTTGCCGCTGACCTACCTCGAGCTGGGTGGGATCTTGAGACCGCTCTTGATCGCCGCCTCGGGCGTCGCGCAGGGCTGCCCTTGAGCGACGCCATATGGGCGCTCGTCTTCGACCCATTCGTGCGAGCGATCAGCGCAGAACTACGCGCCATTCGACGAGGATTGGCGAGCGCCTGCGCCGGCGATCTCGGCAATATCCGCGCCCGATTTCGCGACCTCGCTCGACTGGCCCCTCACTTTGTTGCCGCGGAGCTACTGGCGCGGATAAATCTTCAAGCCAAGAAGTGCATCATTGCGCGGGTGTGGGCGCTTCCCAACGTGACGCTGCGCGACGAGATCCGCGCGTTCCTGACAGAGCTCCACCCTCCATGGCAGACCTTCAAGGTCGAAGCGATGGCCCACTACCTCGGCTTCTTGGTTGGCCCCGGCGCGGCGGCCCTCGACCAGTGCAAGTGCCCGACCAGCAAGTGGTGGGACCGCGCGAGAAACTCTTGATCTCGCACGCCCCGCCCCGGATGCGCACCTAGCTGTGCAACGTCGCCGCGGTGACCCCCCTCCTACGCCGGCTAACTGCACGAGCCCCCGCCCGCCCTGCTCGCGAAGGAGCTCCGGGCGATCCACAAGCTGCTGCGGCAGCCCCCAACTCCTCCGCCAAAGCCGACATCCAAGCTATGACCCTCTGGGCCAACCTCGAGGCCCCCAACGGCGTAGAAACTCTCCTTGCTGCCGCGATGTGGAAGGGCCGCCCAAGTCACCATCAAGAACTGGACCCACCTTTACGATGAGCTCCACGAGACCGCCGCCTCTGAGATCCCGATGTGCGACGTGGTCGAGGGCCGCTGGTGTGCTCGCTGCTGGAAGGACCCTCTGTCAATTGTGCAGCGGCTACATGGAGTTCCCTCGCCCGCGTACTCCGTCGAGGGGAAGGGCCCCACTCGCAAGCGGATCCTGCGCGACTTGGGCTCAAACATGCTGCTCGCCAAGGCCTATCCAACTTGCCGCCGCACGCGAAGATGACGATGCCCCGCGCCGTCGGAAACGCGCCCTGCAGAAAGCATGCCAGATAGCGCTGCATGAGAAGCTGTATTCCGACACCATGCACCTCACGATCAAACGTCGCCTTCTCTCTTGGTTCCCCGAACTCCTCGGAGACCAGCTCGCTCGCCGTCCCTATGATCGTGCTCTGGCTGAAGCTGAGGCAGTTCAAGATCGACTACAACGCCGCGCTGTTGCCTGGTCTGCCAGATGGCTCCCTGATCTGCTCCTCGATGCTCGGGGTTTTGGCAATGAGGGTGACTGGATGAACTGGTTCGAGCATTACGTGGCAGGTGTCTTCCTCCGCGATGTTCTTCGCCCGCTGTATCAGTCCGACGCCCAGCGCCACCAGATCGCACGTGGCATGTGCCGCCAAGCGTGGGAGGATGGAGCCTTCGACCGCCGCCTTCTTGAGCTTCGTGTTCTTGGAAATGCTGGCCCTTGACCTAAAGACGTACGCGAACAAGACCGGCGCCGTGCTGTGCTTGCCGCAGAGCATCGAGCCCGCCGCCGACGGGTCGAATCACATCTGCCCGCAGCCCCTGCTGATGATCAGCCCGACCAATTCGACCCGCCGTCCAACGTGGACATGCCCGACTCCGACCTGATCGGCGCCGACGAGATCCCGTCCGACCTGCAGGAGCGCTGGCAGCGCCTGAAGGTCCACCTCGCGGAGCTCCCGCCTGCCCGCTTGTGGGCGATGATGAAAACTCTCAGTGGAGGGTGGGCCACATCCTACCGCATGCACGTCCTGCACGCGAAACGCAGCTGCCACTTCGGCTGCGACGCCAAGGACGCCATTGCGCACTACCTGACCTGCCCCAGGATGCTCCACCACATGGCGAAGCCGCGAGGGGACCTGTCCGCCGAGCTGCTGACGCGCCTCGGCCTTGGCCTCCTCCAGCCGTTCGACGGCGTGAACGGCATCAGGCGCTCGGTCGCCAGGTTGTCCGTGGCGTGCCGTGCGTGCCACCTGTCGAAGGACGCCGCCGCGGAGGGCCTGCTTTCCTACGAGAGGATGTCGAACTACTTCTGCACCTCCAGGCATTTTCCTCCGCCCCCTGTCCGCCCTCGTCACGTCGTGAACCTGCTGCGGGAGGCGCGCCTCGCCCCCACCCGTCGCCCGAGTCGAGAGAGCGAGTTCCATTACAGTCGGGAGCTCGCTAGAGATCGAACAAACGTCCACCATCCGACGTTCGCTCCTCCTCCCCCTCCTCCTCCCCCTCCTCCTCTTCCTCCTCCTCCTCCTCCTCCTCCTCCTCCTCCTCCTCCTCCTCTCCTCCTACTCCCCTCCTCCTCCCCTTCCCCCCGCCGCCTCCTCCTCCTCCTCTTTCCCCTCCTCCTCCTCATCCTCCCCCTCCTCCTCCCCCTCCGTGCCCCGGGGCCCTCGGGCCCGAGGAGGGCCCCGGAGCGAGCGCACCGCGCCTGCCGCCGCGGGCCGGGCCCTCAATCCTTCCGCCCTGGGGCTGGGGCCCGCCGCCGCCGTCGGTGCCACCCCGCCGCCGCTCCCGGCCGCCGCCTCCGCCACCCGCTTCCGCCGCTCCTCCTCGGCGTTCCTCCTCGGCGTTCCTCCTCCTTGGCCTCGCCTCTCCCCCTCCTCCTCATCCTCCTCCTCCTCCTCCTCCCCCTCCTCCTCCTCCTCCTCCTCATCCTCCTCCTCCTGCTCCTCCTCCCCCTCCTCCGCTTACTTTCTTTTTATCGTTCCTCCCTCCTTCCTTCTCCCAGTCATCGTCGTCGCCCTGCTCCTCCTCACGTCGTCCGTGTCCTCGTTGTATCGCAAGGTGCTGCAGGCAAGGACACAGGGAGGGGTGAGGGAGGCGGGACCGGGCCGAAACAATTCATGTGATCGCAAGTCTGCTATCGGCTCGTACTCTGAGAGGTGTCTGGGCGCCCCTGTACCCAAGTGGGGAGGTGGCCGCGTCGTCGTCGTCGTCGATCATATCCTCCTCTCACCGTCCTCGTCCTCATTCAGTGCCTAGCAGTTTCCCTTGCATTCCTGCGTCTTCGGGGAAGCCGGCTGGACCCAACAGAACGGGAAATATGTCCCGTGCGCGTGTTACCAGGAAGCTGTATACACTGCGTACGCGTGACGTGGCCAGCTTGGGCGTGCGCTGGATGCACACGTGGCCGCACGTCTGTCCAAGGTTCGGCCCTCGTGTGGCTAAGTACGCCAGCCCTCCGCACGTGTATCCAGCAACCGCCCTCCGCATGCTCCACACGTGAATCCAGTCCCGTGGGTCTGCAGGTTCCTGGAGTGCTGAAAACACGCAGCTGGAGGCTTCTCGACCGTAGCCCGAGCATCCAAAAACAAGGATGCAATGCGCTGTCGGTAAGGTCGAGTTGGGAACGGGCCCCGTGTATTCCACGTGCTTGCGCCATTCCGCACGCCCCCAGGCCCTCTTGTGCGCCGAAGCGATGTGGTGCACGCAGATGTTGCTGCGGCACCCGTGGTGTTTGCGCACGTCGTTGCGCAGCGGATCAAGTTACAACGCAAAAAGTAAAAGTAAAACAAAAAACGACTACATGATGAATGCGAGGAACAGAAGGGGTGGACGACGACGACGAACACGACGACGTTTTCCCCGCTCCAAGGGCGCCCAAACCCATCCCAGAGCACGAATCGATAACAGACGTGCAATCAAAAGGACGTGTTGACTTGGCCCCGCCTCCTTCGCCCCCTCCCCCCTCCCAGTCCCCTCCTTCATTCCCGACCATCCTGTGGTGTTGGGACCTCGCTTGGAACACGCATCGCTATGCGTTTCCTTCCCCCCCTCCTGTCGTGTCAGTTCCTTTCCTCCTCCCTCCCATCCGCGCCTGTGTCTTCCGTAGTCTTCATCACCATCTTCCATTACCGCCTTTATCGTGAGCGCCATCGTCAACATCGCCATCATCGTTCCGGCAAGCCTCTCACACGCTTCGAGGCACCATACAGGGCTCCACCGACAGCCCCAATGGCTGCGCCCGCGTGCCACCACCGCACCCCTGTCGGTTCACCTCCCGCACGTTTCGTGGCCCCATATGAGAGCTCCACCGAGGCCCCAGCGGCTGCGCTCGCATGCCACCACCGCACCCAATCCGGCACACCCCTCACACGCTTCGTGGCCCCATGGGGCGTTCCACCAAATGCCCCAGTGGCTGCGCTCGCATGCCGCCACCGCACCCATGTCGGCACACCCTTCACACGATTCGCTCGCACGTTTCGTGGCCCCAAAGGGAGCTCCGCCGAAGGCCCCAGTGGCTGCGCTCGCATGTCTTCATCGCGCCAATCTCGGCACCACTCGCACGTCTTGTGGCCCCAAAGGGAACTCTGCCAAAGGCCCCAATCGTTGCGCTCGCGTGCAACCACCACACCAATGTCGGCACACCTCTCACACGTTTTCTGGACAGTTTCAACAGCTCCGCCGAAGGCTTCAATGGCTGCGTCCGCATGCCACCACCACACCCTAGCCAAGTCGGCACACCCCTCACACGCTTCGTGGCCCGAGAGGGAGCTCCACCGAAGATCCCAGTTGCCGCTCTCCCTTGCCTCCACCGCGGCCATGTCGGCACGCTCCTTACATGCTTCGTGGTCCCCGCGTTTGCTGCCCATGCCAGCACACCCCTCGCATGGCCCGCGGCTCCATAGGGAGCTCCACGTCAGGCATCAGTGGTTGCAGCCACATGCGCACATGCGGTTCCCCGCCGATGTCGGCACACCCCTCTCGCGAGCTACGTGGGCGCATAGGCATCTGCATCGAAGACGATACTCGCAACTTCGGTGTTCACAACTGCATGATGTTCACGGTTGTCGCTTGGATAATTCGTGTTGTCGTGTTGTCCGTGTGAGAAGTTCCTCATGGTTCAATGAGGAGGACGAGGACGACGAGAGAAGGAGGAAGAGGAGGAGGAGGAGCAGAAGGAGGAGGACAACGGCTGGGGGGACGGAGGGGCAGTTGGAAGGATGAGGGAGGAACGAGGAGGAGGACGAGGAAGACGAAGAGGAGGAGGAGAGGAGGTGGAGAAGGAGGTAGGGGAAAGGAGGTAGCAATCCATATTGTGAGTGCAGCAGACCCCTACGTTGCGACAAGCTTCCCAGAGCTATCCACAGCAGGTCCTTGCCTGGCGCACGCTGATCCGTTTCCCAGACGGCGCTGGCGCGAATCGTGACGTGACCTGGGGGGACCAGGGCGGGGCAGGTCACGGGCGCTCTCACCGAGAATGGCAAAACGGGCTCTCGTCATCAGTGTGCGGGGTGATCTCCAGAAGTGCCAGGCAAGCCTCTGAGCGAAGCTCTCTTCTCCCGTGCTGTCGCTCCCCATGGCGGGCCCGCCCGCGCTCCGACAGGGCACCGCTCTCCCTTCACTGGGGTCAGCCCTTCGGCCGTGCAGAGCGAATCCGAGCCCGAGTCCTCTCGGACAAAGCGCCTGCTCCACCGAGTTCCCCATGACGACCTCCCTGGACCACTTCGGCGCCCCCTACAGGGTGCTCGAGGCGCGACGGCCGCGCGCGCGGCCCGCGCCGATCCTCCTGCGAGCGGGCGGGGGGCCTCGGGGGGTTGCCACAGGACGTCCTGGCCCAAGGTTAGGGAAACGATCAATGACATACACATAAAAGATCGGAGGTCGGCGCAGATTTCGCGGATCGGCGCTGGGCCCCCTGGCGGCGCCTCCGGCGCCGATATTGGCGCGCTCCGAGCGCCGATCCAAGAAATCCGCGCGGACCTCCGAGTTTGCATGTTTATGCTATTTTTCGTTCCCCTAAAGGTGCCCCCCAGCTTTTCGCTCAATTTTGAAGCCCCTTGGGCCCTCAGAGCCTTGTGATAGTGGTGCCCTGGAGGCCGTGGGGGCTCCTTGGAAATCCTGGGGGCACCTTGGGCCAGGGGCATCACGGGCAGCAGGGCTGGACGTAAACGCCGTTTTGCTGGACTTCGGTTGTGTTTTGCTCTTCGTTTTGGGAGGGGGAGGTACGGGAAAACAGGTAGAGCAAAACGAAAACAAAACGAGAAGCAACGTTAAGGCCCAGCCCTGACTGGCAACACCCGAGGGGCGGGCCAGCAGGCCGACGCCTGGGCGCCCGAAGGCTCCCGCATGCAGGCGGGGCGGGGGGGAAGTGCTTCGGTGGACAAGCACGCGTTGGCCCTAGCGACGCTTCCTGAGAATCCTCTAGGGGGGGTGGGGGGGGTTCGGGGTCCTGACGGGGGCCTGCGTTTTGAGGGTTTCGTTGTTCATAAGGATGCTGCGTCGTCGTTGTCGTCGTCGTCGTCGGTTTCTTCGTTGTCGTCATCTTTGTCGCCGTCGTCGTCGATTACGTTGTCATCGTGGGCAGGAGGAGGCTGGAGGTGGGGGGGTGGACGGAGGGGAGCAGGAGGTCGACGAAGAAAATGGCACAAGCGTAAACTTTCAGAGGTCCGCGCGGATTTCTCTGATCGGCGCTCGGACCCCCAGGCGGCGTCTCCGGCGCCGCCCCTGGCGCGCCCCGCGCGCCGGTGAGGGGGGGCCCAGCGCCGATCCAAGAAAATCCGCTCGGACAGAACCTCCGACAGTTTGTGTTTATTCGGTTATTTGTTCCGCCAGCAGGGCCAGGGCGCCCGAGGGAGCCAGCGCGGCAGGTTTGCGTCGCGTCGACGCGGCGGCGACCCCAACGCGGACGTTCAAGGCCGATGCCCATGTGGGGCGAGCGTCGCCTGCCCAACAGCGGGCGCTGCTGGCCTGCGACAGCATCTCTTGTTGTGAATCGTCCAGTGTTGATGGGCGTGTTTTTCTCCACCACCACCATAAGCTGGAGGGGGTGGGGTCCTCTTCCTCCTCCTCTTCCTCCTCCTCCTCCTCCTCCTCCTCTACCTCTCGGCACGCTCGACTCCTCCTCCTCTACCTCCTCCTTCTCCTAGCCGCCGCTCTGGCACACAGCGTGCGAGGGGCGGCCGCGGCGCAGGCGGGCGGATGGCCCGCCGTGGCGCCACGCGCATCGCGATGGCGCGGCCCGTGGGCCAGTGGATCCTGCGGGTGCTGGGGTACAACCCGATGTTTTGCACGGGAGTTCGACTCCAAGAGGTCGCCATGTCTTGCAGCAGTATGGACGTGGTGATGATAGCTGGCACGCAGGCTACGCATAGGAAGAATGAGGAAGTTCTCACTCGAAGGATTGGGAAGAGGATCGTGCTGGAGGCCGAGGCGGGCGTGGGCGAGTTCACGAACAAGAGTACAGGTTGTGCTATAGTGCTGGGCTAAAAATTCAAGGAGCAGCATGTGTGCAGGACATGGCCGAGCCCCTCAGGTGCAGAGGGCCGCGCCCTGGCGGCGAGGGTTCGCCGCGGCCCTTTAGATATGGCAGCAACCGTGTTGTACTTCCCGCCGCAGCCCAGGCATGCTCGCTTGGTCCCGCACTACAAAGAGACGGTCCGCATGTTGACGCAGTGGTACGAGGGAGTCTTACAACAACTACCAAGCAGATGTACACCGTTGGTGTACGCAGACCTGAACGACGGCATGGGCATCAGCAGGATCGCGGGCCAGTGGCAGCATGTGGAGTCGCAGTCGATGGGACCAGGCCGAGCTCGAGAGCAACGACGGGGGGGCGCGGGCGAAATGATGAGGATGGTGAACGAGCGCCACCACATGTACATGATGAATTCTCGTAGTCAGAAGTTAGAGCACACGTATTACAACGCGTCTGGACACAGCAGTTGCATCGACTACCTTTTTTATCCCAGATGGCATGATTGATACGTCAAAGAAGTTCTCCCCATTATTCAGTTTGGGAGCGGAGCTGCAGGCTTTCAAGGGGGGCCCGCCGAAGGACCACATCCCAGTCTACAAGGAGCTACACGGCGTGCAGGCAATTTGCACGGCGGAGACGCTGACACCAGCACCAGAGCGCATGAAGTGGAATCAGGACGACCTTATGCAGTGTCTACGACGAGGGCATCGTCGAGCCGAGTTTCTTGAGAAGGTGGAAGCACGCCTGCATGAGACGGAAGATACGTGGAGGGCCATGCTGACCGACGGGAGACCAGACGAAATCTTTCTTCACTTGGAGGAGGTGCTAGTCACGATCGGGCAACAGATGTTTGGCCATGTCGTATCTAACGACCCAGAATACAGGCGAGCAGCGGCAGAAGGAACCGAGCTTCTGAAAGAACGGGTTCGACTACGACGGTCTAGACAGGACATGAAGGAGGATTCCACGGAGCTGAACGAGTGCGAGAAACAGCTGAAGAGGCTCAGTCAGCGCCTACGTCGAGAACGGCAGCAATTCGACCAGCAACGTCGCACCGCTCTTTTGGATGAGATTGACGAGGCGTGGCGGGCCAGTCGCCTTGCAGAGGCTATGAGGCTTTCGAGGCAGGCGGCGCGATGCCGCTTCGGCCCGAAGAGAAGGGACGGGCGGCTTCTGCGGGGGGGGGGCACTTCGCAGAACAGGAGCTGCTCGACCACTGGGGCAAGAAGGGCGGGGACGGGGGCATGTCGGCTCGGAAGATCGTCTTTGAGGACTGGCTGAACGAATACCCACCTGGCCCCACCCCCTACATCGCGCCCGAGGACTGCGAGCTTGCTCAGAAGGACCAGCGGAGAATCAAGAAGTATTTCAGGAGTGCCAATAAGAGACGAATGGTGCCAGCAGGGGCCCCGCCAGCTGAGATATGGTTGATGCGCATGGACCCAGAGGCTGACATGGGCACCAAGGGGCACGGGGTAGGTTACGAGCAGGCAGTCCCTGAGATGAAGCTGTTTGGGAAGATTCTGGAGGGAGTCCTGCGGATCGTTCGGGCTACGAATCGAACCCCGCTTCGGTGGCGCATCAGTTCTGGAACACAACTTCGGATAAACGCCAAGCCAGGACCAGTGGGCCGCAGGGCGGTCCATGTATTGCCGACTGTTGGGAAAGCGTTTTACTCGGGCTTTCTTCGGCTTCCTCCCATGGTCACGGAGCACGGCTTTTGTAAAGGCAGACGTCGTGAAGGAGTTATTTTAGTCGCACAGCTCCTCTGCTGGCGCCTGCGGCGCGCTGGACGTTCGTTCGCGTTTACATTTAAAGACATGTCCAACGCTTTCGCCAGCGGGGACTGGGGAGAACTGGACCAGACGGTAGAGCTCCATGCAGAACCCCAGGACGTATTTTTGTGTGTTCAACGCTTTCGATGCGTTAATCTGGCTAGAGACCATGGGGGGTGGATGTACATCAGGACGGGGGAAGGAGGAACGATGGGAGACCCGTTTGTCGTGGAGCTCTTCCGTGGAACCGTTGCTCGGCCCATCCTGCAGTGGCTTCATCGTCTTAGAGATTTTGACAAGTCTGCTGCTGGTTTGGTTGCTAGTTGGAGAGATTTACGCGCGGACGTCGGTGGCTGCCTTTACGCCGACAATATCTTTCGAGCTCACGTGGCCCAACCTCGCGGTACCGCGGGCACTTTGTTTCTGGTCCTGAAGCAAGCTGACGTGGCCCTCTCGGAGGAGCTGGATGCTATTGGGCATGCACAAAACATCGGGAAGCAGGAGGTTCAGCAATGCTTTCAGGGAACTGGGGCCTTACAGTGTCAACAGTGGGCGAGGGGTCAGGGTCGACGACAAATTGCAGGAGATCTTCAGGAGCATGTCAGGTACCTGGGCCCCAAAATTAATCTGCTGCTATATTCTTCAGTGGAGACCGGTCGTAGAATTCAAGCTACTGCCGAGTCGTACTATGCCTTGGGCCAGATATGGGCCCTGGAGCTGCCGTTCCGCTGGAAGCGGACCATGTTTCTGAGTTTCGCGCAGCATGCGGCGCTCGCGGGTTTAGAACCAATGCTGCTCACCAATCGCCTATATCGTGAACTCGACTCGCTTCTGGCTCGCTATGGGAGGAGGGCATTACAAGGGAGGGCGACAACAAAGGTGGACGGGAAGATTCGGTCGTGGTCGAATAAGAAAGTGATGCAGCATTGGCGCCTCGCTAGTTCTGAAACGGAGTTGCTGGTCAGACGCTTGGGGTGGCACCGTACTTGGGCCCTATCCCCGAAGAACCACAGCCATGAGATTTGCTTGTTGTTCGGGACCTTGGGCCTGGATGCGCGCGTGTGTGATTGCGTGTGTGTGTGTGGGGGGGGGGGGGGGGGGCAACCGTTGCGCGACAGCGCAGTTATTCCCAGTGTGGCATCTCCGTGGCTCCTTCGACTGCACTCTGACTTTCGGCGTGCAGCAGATGCGCTTGACGAGGGCGACCTCTGCGCCCATTTTGCTCGCTGTCCAGGCGATATAGTGAACGATGATTATCGTGAGTTCTGGACTCGCGTGGATTTTACGGAGATTCGTGCACGCGAGCTGGCAAAGGTGATCCCTCCTTCAGACCTCTACATGAAAGAAACGCGGGGTACCCCAGGAGTACCTCTGGAGCCCCCTTGGAAGTATGAATGGGCGTTGGAGGAGGGCATGGTATGTGGGCACGGGTTCCAGACCAAGAGGGACCTCATGAACCATATGCGTCAAATCCATCTAGTACACAATTTAGCTGCTACGCTGACACCTACAAACACGCGCATAGCGTGTAGACGTGTATTCGCTAGCCAGGATAACGCTCACAAGCGCCTCCAGAGGGCCCTGATGAGTGGTAAGTGTCCGCCAAGGGGTTCGGCAGCGCTCTCGGGAGTTAGGCTTCCACCGTCATTGGCATGCAGAGCATGCAGGTATCACTCCAGCGGTTTGGGCAACTTATGCAGCCATTTGGTCGCAAACCATCTTCCGCGTGTGGTGGGCCCGTCCATATCACGTGCCCCAGAGGCAGATCTCGGAGCATTATCCTCTCCTGGGCCAGCCGCTGCTCATGTCGGATGCGGTGGCGATCGAGGATGTGCTGGAGCGTCCCGCGTGGCTGAGGGACCCGTCGTCAGGCCCTGCGAGCAAAAGGGGCCGCGATGGCGACGCAGGCGGCAGCAACGTCAGGGAGGAGGCGAAGAAGGCGGCGCGCGGGCAAGGCGCGCTGGTCAAGCTGGTGCTTATCCTCGGCAAGCTCGTGCTCACGGACAGCCGCGCGCTGGCAGGGGTGTCGAGCACGGTGCGCCGCGCGCGTGACATCTGCGCGGACGCGGACTTCGCGGCGACGAACGAGAGCGCGGGGGCGGACTACAACGACCAGTCGCAGGAGCTCAAGGCCAAGACAAAGAAAGGAGAAGCCGTCGACTTCCAGAGCAGAGGACCGCCCTTCGTGACCATCTTCGTGGCGACCATGCACTGGGCGGCCTCGCAGTACTACAAAGAAGGAGTGAAGCAAGAGCCGTGGATGACCATTGCTCGAGAGTTCTACAAGGAGTACCTGTGCAAGTCGTCGGCGGTACAAGTGGGAGAGCTGGCGCTGCATTGGCAATGGAAGCGCAACAAGAACAAGACGGAGAGCAACCCGAGGGGCAGGTTGATCATTGCATTCGACACGCAGCACCCAAAGTATGCGCAGCTGATGCAGATCATGGCGGCCCTGCTCGAGACGCTGAAGGCGGAGGGGCGCATCGGGCCCGCGCCGAGGGGCCCACTGGAGCGGGGCGCTTCGAAGCTGCTGGCGGAGTTCAAGTAGACGGGCGCAGCCCAGGCATAGTAAAAGGAGGTAGAGGTAGCAGCAGTAGCGGCAGCAGCTTTCTACAGTCAAGTAGGTTGCCCTTGAACGGCGGACCCGTGTCGGATTCCCGAGGTGTTAGTCACCAACATCCGCTGCGGGCGAGTGGAAGGTTGGCCGACCTAATTCGTAGGGGTTTAGTGTCTTCTGAAGTTTTGAACCCGCGACCCCCCCCCCTTTTGCCCTCAGCTCATGGTTCTGGAGTGTCCAATGCCCCGACCATCCAAAGAGAGGGGGGCCTTCAGGGGCCAACGGCAGGGACAAGGGCAAGAAGGGTTTTCGGTAGCACTCTCACTGGTCCCCAAGAGCGGGCCCTCCGTAGGCTGCGTGCCGTCCAGGGGGTGCTCGTAGGGGCGGTGCGGCGTCCGTCGTGGGCCACGGGCCGCATCTGACGGTTTGGCGAAGCACGATTCGCCCCCCAGAGTTCCCCTAACTGCGAAGGTAGGCGGTGTAGGCAGGCGTCTAACGGTTGCAGTTGAACTCCCACGGGCCCAATCCAATCAATCCTCCTTCTCCTTCTCCTCCTCATCATCATCATCATCCTCATCCTCATCCTCGTCCTCCTCCTCCTCGCCCTCCTCCGCCTTCCCACCTCCAACTTATGGTGGTGGTGGTGGAAAGCAGGCTCATCAAGTGTTGTTCTGTACGGCGGGTTCGTGTCGCGTCGACGTTGCGAGGGCCCTTTGCGCGGACGCCCTTCGAGGTGGAGCGTACCCAGCGGCCCGGGATCGGCCGACATCGAGGGGCTTGCGCGATCGGGAAGCCGCGCTCGCTCGGGGTTGAACGATACACGCGGTATGCAACTATCGGGGGTGGACAGAGCCCCCACCCCACCCTGACACGTCGAATCGTGAATCGTCAATTTTCGGTTCTCGCCCATGGAGTAGTTCCGAGTGCATGGACATGGCCCTTCTCTCCCCCCTCCCTCGTGTCCTCCCCCTCCCCCTCACATTCTCTCGTCGTGTTGAGTTGATGTTGTATTGTTGGCCCTTTGGGCTTCGGGGACTATTCGCATGTGGCACGTTCGCTTGCTCTTTCAGGCCAAGGTTCACTGCAGGAGATTGCCTATTGCAGGTTGGCGCGTGTGAGGTTCCTGGTTTGCCTGGCGACGGTTTATTGCACAACGGTAAGTTCGTCATGTCACCCAACGCACTTGCTTGGGAAGGGAAACGAACATTGAAAATGACGACGACGACAACGACGAGGACGACGACGACAACGACGACGACAACGACGACGATTCCGACTACGATTACGACGACGACGACGACGACGACGACGACGACGACGACGACGACGACGACGACGACGACGACGACGACGACGACGACGACGACGACGACGACGACGACGACGACGACGACGACGACGACGACGACGACGACGACGACGACGACGACGACGACGACGCCGCCGCCGACGACGACGACGACGACGACGACGACGACGATGTGGAGCCTTTTGGGGGTCGTTTGGGAGCATTTCGGGGGCGTCTTGGGGAGTCCTGGGGGCCTTGGACGCTGAAGGCTCGTCGGGTATTCGGTCTGGGCAGTCTCTTGGGACCGTCTTGGAGGCATCTGGGGCCGTCTTGAATGCCTCTTGGGCGGTCCTGGGGCTCTCTGGAGGGGGTCTCTTGGAGACCTGTTGGGCTATCTTGTGACGATGCGGAACCCCTCTGGGGCGATCTGGCGCGTGGGGAAACCTAAGAGACGAGAACGCCAACAAAAATCAAAACATCAGGACAGTCAGCGTGTGTGGCCTTTCCAGGCTCTCTTTTCAGCGCTCTGAGAGGTCCCTTGGGGCGTCTTGGAAACGTCCTGGGCCGTGTGGAGGCTGCCTGGGCGTCTTGGACCCATCGTCTTCGGATTCGAAGCTCTCCTGCACCGAGTCGGGAGGCCTTGATGGCGCTTTGGCCGCGTCTTGCGGCTTTCGTAGGCCCCGAGACCGCCCAGGGGGGGATGCGCATCTGGGTGGCGCCCCCCCCCCACCCCCCTGGGACCTGCACACTGTTTTTTTGTAATTCGTCGAATTTTCTTTGTTTTTTGGGGGGGCCAAGATCCTTTCATTTCTAATTCTTCTATCCTGGGCCTCCTCCTGGCCACTCGGGGGCCAAGAACAATTAGAAAGGAGCACAATTAGAAATGAGCAGGATTAGACGTGAACGACGTGTACCCCCCGACCCCCTCTCCGCGCCCGATCGCTCGCGAGCTTCGCCCGCCCGGCGCGGCCCTTCCAGGCAGCAAACCAGGGGAGCTCGCAGATGTGGCGGCCGCAGACGCAGCTCATGACGCAGGCGCCGTCGCAGCCGTGGCCGGCCATCTTCGGCGGCGAAGTCCGAGCCCTGCCCTCGCCGTTGAAAGATTCAGACAAATCGATGGGCGGCGGGGGTCCCAGGGTGCGGTTCGGAATTCGTCGGCCACGTGGCGAAACCCGACCCTCACCCCTGCCTCCCATCGGTTCAGGAGAATCGAGGGTTGGTGGGGGGCAGGGATCGGATGTCGTCACTTAGCAGGCGCAGTCGCAGTCGCTGCCGGCCATCCACCAGCCATCGCGCGCTGGCCAGGAGGACGATATGTTGCCACCCTCTGCTTCGCGCGGGGGTCGGGACCATCGGCCTAAGAGAGACGGGGGGAAGGAGGAGGTGGAGGATGGGGATGGGGAGGCGTCGGGGAGGGTCACGTTCCCGACGGGGACGCCTCAAGCTGGCTAGCGTACTCCCATCCACGTTCCCGCCACATGGCTACCCTCACCCGTGACCAAGATTTGGCGTATCCGTGGCAATCTTTTACTCAACCCAATTTGCCCCAGCATCTTTCGAGCAGCGTCCTCTCGCCCTTTCGGACCCTCCCGCAACAGTGTGGCGGCAGCGGCGCCAGCGTTGTCGGACTTCGTGACGGGCGGCGTGTAGGACTTCGCGACATGCGTGGAGTCCGCCGCGCGCGCGTTTTCGTGGCCAAGCCAGGAGGGTGCGCGCGTCGACCCTGGGCTTGGGATGGTCTGGCCAGGACACGTGCACACTCACAGGCAGTTCTCCTTCTCCTGACAGGGCGATGCCGTCGCGGGCGCCCTCGCGGCGCCAGCAGGCCGCCGTACAGAGCGCCAGCGGGGCGCGGGCCGGCACTGCTGGCGCGCGTTCTACCTCGGCGCTGCGGGGGAGCAGGCGGGCGACGAAGCGCAGGTGGCCGCCGAGGCGGAAAGAGCGAGGTGCTGCGCAGAGGCCGCCGCGGCCGCCTTTGAGGCGCGGGCCCAGGCTTCCCTGCCTGCCGCGGCGGGCTCGCCACTGCTGCTGCTGCTGCTGCTGCTGCTCTTCGACCGGGAGCTCGGGAGCTCCGCGCGCACTCGCCATGAAGCAGACGGGTCATGAGGAAAACTGCTTCTTGGGTTTGTCGCCGTTCTCGGCCTCGAGCGGCTCCTCCTGGGCCCTGGGGCCATCAAACAACGGGTCTGGATGAAAACTTGGTCTTGCGGGAAAGCCCCGGGGTCAAGGTGCCGTTTCCCTCAGATCCCGTTTGCTTCATGCCGCGCGGTCGGACGGGGCTAGGACGAGGATCAATTCGTTCTTACGTTCCGGAACGCTCTGAGAGCGTTCCGGAAAGCTCTGTCTGAGAAGACCACGGCGCTCGATGCATCCTCCAGAGCCGCCGGATCTCAGAGATATTTGATTTATTTTCATCCGATGTCATTATTCGTCCTGGTTTCGTCTTACACGCCAGCCGCGACGCGATGGAGGCGGCGATTATTAAATTGGTTCTGGAGCACACGGAGAGGGACGCGTCGCACGTCAGACGGCGACGGCTCACGTCAGGCGGCTTGGCCTCGCATTCAAGTTCGCCCTCGACGCGCGCTGCCGCGCCGACCACAGCATTGGCGCGGGCGCCATGAAGGTTGCTCTCGCGCACGGGCAAGGATTTGGGCAAGCCAAGCGGTGACCGGGCGAGGGGCACCGAAGTATGCCAAAAGCCAAAAGTGTGACATCCAAGCGAAGCCGAAGTAGGAGTGTGAGACATGAGAGACATGGGAGTACGAACATGTATGGGAAAGGTCTGAATCAAATTTCAAACTTTGTTCAAATTGCTTGCCAAATGGTCTTTTCTTCAAGCTTTTCTCGAATTTCGAAAGCCGGGCGCACTTTTCACACTGTTTGTCGAACTTTTCCGAGTTTCCAGATCCGGGTATCTGTTTTTCAAAGTGTTCCCAATTTTTCCAAATTTCCAAATCTGGGCGTATCTTTATCAACTTTTGGACACGTGTTTCAAATTTCCAGGTCCAGACGTATTTGCGTCAATCCTTTTTCAAGCAGATTTCAATATGCCCACTCTGGGCGTGCTTCTGCAACATATGTTCACATTCTCCGAATTATATATATATAAGGGGGGACCAGGTCTGGGGGCCCAGGGCTGGGATCACGACCACAAATGTGGGGCCAGGGCATCGTTGTCCCTGTGTTTTTTGACGGGGGTTCGGCGACCTGGGGCCAACAGGACCCCAAGAGGCTGCAGGGAGGCCCCAGGAGGCCGCAGCGATGGCTCCAGACGCCTTTCAAGACGACTCCCATGACGCCACGAAGGCCCCCGAAGGCCCCGAAGACGCCCCAAGAGGCAACCCGCCCAATAAGCAAACACCGTCGATTTCCTATGAGCAAACTTCTATTTTTGGCGTGTTTGCCTTTTCTTGGTCCACTGCGTCCAAGACGGCCCAAGAGGCACCCAAGCCAGTCGAGGATGCCCCCAAGAGGGCTCCAAGACGGCCCACGAAGGGGCCAAGACGGCCCACGAGACGCCCAAATCGCCCAAGAACGCCCCAAGGCGGCGCCCAAGACGGGAACGAGGAACCGGATTTGTTTTTGGCATTTTGGCCCAAGAGACCCCCAGGAGACCCCAAAAGGCTCCAAGAAGCGCCCAAGAAGCCCCAAGAGGTCCCCAAGAGACCCGCCAAAAAACACCAAAAGAGGCCCCGAACACGCCCAATAGAGCCCCAATAAGCAAAAATAGTTTATTGCCGATGGGGGAACTAATATTTTTGGCGTCTTCGCCTTTTGGGCTTCCATTGCGTCCAAGACAGCCCAAGAGGCCCCCCAAACTGCCCCACAGGCTCCCAAGAGGGCTGCAAGACGACCCCAAGAGGGTCCCAAGACGGGCCGAGAGGCCCCCAAGACAGCCCAAGAGAGCCCCAGGACGAGCCCCAGAGGGGTCTCAGAGGTGCACAACCATATTCAAATTCCGAGCTTTTGGCCCCAGAGGCCCCCAGGAGGCCCCAAGAAGTCCCCAGGAGGCCCCAAGAGACCCCCCAGAGGCCCCAAGAGGCCCCCAAGAGACCCCCGGGAGGCCCCCAAGAGGCACCCCAATAGAGCCCCAAATAAGCAAATATCGATGATTTCCTATGGGAAAACTGATATATTTGGCGTGTTTGCCTTTTGGGCGTCCACTGCGTCCAAGACGGCCCAAGAGACACCCAAGACGGTCGAGAATGCCCCCAAGAGGGCCCCAAGACGGCCCACGAGGGGGCCAGGACGGCCCACGAGACGCCTAAACCGCCCACGAACGCCCCAAGGCGGCGCCCAAGACGGGAACGAGGAACCGGATTTTTTTTTTTTTGTTGTTGGGGGGGGGGGATTTTGGCCCAAGAGACCCCCAGGAGACCCCAAAAGGCTCCAAGAAGCGCCCAAGAAGCCCCAAGAGGTCCCCAAGAGACCCGCCAAAAAACACCAAAAGAGGCCCCGAAGACGCCCCAAGAGGCACCCCAATAGAGCCCCCAGGCCCCGGGTGCCGCACCTCCCCGTGACATCTCGGGAACGCCCCCGGTACCGCTCCCCCGGGCGTTCCGGGGGGCCTCCACAGCGCTCCAGGAGGGCCCGAGACGCCTCTCAGGAGCACCCAGAATGCGAAAGGATTGTCCAAAACGCTTTCAAGCAGCCCAAGTCAGCCTTCCGACGGCTCTCGAGGCTCCCAGGTAACCTCCAAGAGATCCCAAGAGAGGTCCGAGAGGCGTCCCGGGACGGCCCGACGAGGCCAACGTCGTAGATTTTCATTGGTTTGTTTCCCATGTTTTTGGCTTCTCGCGTTTTCGAGCTTCCAACGGTCCAAGAGCGCCGACGAGGCTCCCAAGACCGCCCCAAGACCACCCAAGAAACCTTCAGGACGGCCCCAAGACGGGCCAAGAAGGCTCCAAGACTGCCGAAGAGGCGCCCAGGACAGCCCCAGACCACCCCAGAAGAGGCCCAAGATGGGGCCAAGAGCGGGAGCAGGAGGCTTCCAGAGACTTCCGAAAGGCCTCCGGGACCACCCAGAGGCCCCCAACACACCCCCGATCCCTGAGAGGCCCCAGAGACCCCGACGAGGCTCCAAGAACAGCCCAAAAGAGCTGCGAGAGCCGTCCCGAGAGAGCCCAAAGAGGTTAAACTCGTTGATGTCACATGGTTTTTCTAATGGTTTTCGCCTTCTCACACTTTCCCGCTTCCAACCCTCGAAGATCGAGGATTTTGAAAAAAGAGGGAATTCCCAGAATCACCCCTTTTTCAAAGTGGGACTCCTACTCGGGGGTCCTACACATTCCCTGACATCTGGCCGGTACCGCGCCTTCCAGCTTCCCGGGGGAGACCCCAAGTCGCCGAAGGACAGCCCATGACGACCCCAAGGAACCCCCAGAACGTAAAGAACGGCCCAACACGCTCCAGCGCAGCCCGCGACACCCTTCCGACCGCTCTCCAGGCCTCAAGGAGGCCTCCAGAACCCCCAGGGGGTCCGGAAGATCCCACACCCCTGAGAAGCCCGGCCAACAAAACCCGCGAGGCACAAACAAAAAGCAGCGCCGAACAGCGCCGAGGAAATGGGAAAACATGGAAATCCTACAATTCTTGTTTTTTCCCCACATGCTTAGTGGGGTTTTAGTTTTCTTCCGTCCCGCGTCGCACCCGCGTCTCCTCACCCCTCCTCCTCCTTCTCCTTCTCACACAGCACAGCACAGCGCAGCGCAGCACAGCACAGCTCAGCACAGCTCAGCACAGCACAGTTATGGTTTTCATCCTTGCCGCGTCGCACCCGCGTCTCCCGCACACACACACACACACCTCCCCCTCCTTCTCCTTCCCACACAGCACAGCGCAGCACAGCGCAGCACAGCACAGCACAGCACAGCACAGCTCAGCACAGCACAGCACAGCACACAGCACACAGCACATTGACACACAGCACGTACACAGCACAGCACAGCATAGCACTGTCCAGCACAGCTCAGCTCAGCTTAGCTTAGCACAGCACAGCACAGCACAGCTCTTTTCAGCACAGCACAGCTCACCCGCGAAGCTCATTCACCTCCCTTGCGGGCTCGCAAAGCGTGGCTGGCGTGGCATATTCTCGACACCATAGGGGGTGCGCAGGGGGCAGTCTCTCACCGCGGCCGCTATCCGTGACGGTCGTCCATGGCACAGCAGGCATGGCATATTCTCGACACCATACGGGGTGCGCAGGGGGGGGGTCTACAACCGCGGCCGCTATCCGTGACGGTCGCCCAGGGCACAGCAGGCATGGCATATTCTCGACACCATAGGGGGTGCGCAGGGGGTGGTCTCTCACCGCGGCCGCTATCCGTGACGGTCGTCCAAGGCACAGCAGGTAAGGCATATTCTCGTCGCCATAGGGGGTGCGCAGGGGGTGGTCCTCACCGCGGCCGCTATCCGTGACGGTCGTCCATGGCACAGCAGGTAGGGCATATTCTCGACACCATAGGGGGTGCGCAGGGGGGGGTCTCTCACCGCGGCCGCTATCCGTGACGGTCGTCCATGGTACAGCAGGCATGGTATATTCTCGACACCATAGGGGGTGCGCAGGGGGTGCGCATCTCTCACCGCGGCCGCTATCCGTGACGGTCGTCCATGGCACAGCAGGTAGGGTATAGTCTCGACACCATAGGGTGTGCGCTGGGGGTGGTCTCTCACCGCGACCGCTATCCGTGACGGTCGTCCAGGGCACAGCAGGCATGGCATATTCTCGACACCATAGGGGGTGCGCGGGTGGTGGTCTCTCACCGCGGCCGCGATCCGTGACGGTCGCCCAGGGCACAGCAGGCAAGGCATATTCTCGTCGCCATAGGGGGTGCGCTGGGGGTGGTCCCTCACCGCGGCCGCTATCCGTGACGGTCGCCCAGGGCACAGGAGGCATGGCATATTCTCGACACCATAGGGGGGTGCGAAGGGGTGGTCTCTCACCGCGGCCACTATCCGTGACGGTCGTCCACGGCACAGCAGGCATATCATATTCTCGACACTATAAGGGGATGCGCAGGGGGGGTCTCTCACCAGGGCCGCTATCCTTGACGGTGTGTTCCAATGTTTGTTTAATTTGTTTTCCGAAGTGTTGGAATTTGGGCAATTTCTCCAACCTTCCAACTCCGGGCAAGCGCACACTCATATTTCGCGCGCTCCGCGATGTAATTCTTCCCCCCCCCCCACACTTATTCCAACTCATGCGTCAACCCAGATTTAAGAAGTTTGCCTGCCACGGGGCTCTATGAGGCAAGGAAGTGAGCCTCGAGGCTGCCTGAGGTCTGGCGCTTCAGTTCGACACTTACTCCAGGCCGTTCGATCTAGTCAACATGCCCCTCATCACCTGTTCCACGCCCGGCTGGCACTTTGGCGTGCACTACGGCAAAGCACGGGATGGTCGTCGCGCGTGGCCAGCGACTGCGGCGTCCATCTCTTCAACAAGACAAGCGTGCAGGACGACGCCGTCCTATATTCGTCAACGCCGACGCCAGCCAGCCAGGCGTGGTTGGCGTGTTCGCATCGCTGGTCCGGCACGCCAGGAGTTCGGGTGCTCGCATTCCCATGCCCAGCCACACGCGCGCGACTTACAACGAGGCGCACAAGCGCTGCTATGGACGTTGGCACCCAGGTCCAAGTCACGGCGCACCCTCCTCGCCACGGCGGTCCCAGCGATGGTTGCCTCCGCCAGGCGCCCTGGCTGCTGGACGTTAAGGCGCGCGGGCGGTGGGACCAGTGTTCCTGGAAACCAGCGTAGATCCAATGAAAAGAGGTTGTAGGCAGCAAGTTTGCCCCCCTGTCATTAACTATACACGATTCCCAGGCCCACTGGTTGGGATAGCGGCTGAGCATTCGTAATCGGAGTTGTGCAGATCTTTCTTCTCATAGCCCATCTTGCTCCCCTCCGGCCTGCCACTGCCAGCACGGGGCTGCATGTTGCCCGTCTATTATCCTCGCGTTCTCGTTGGGCCACTTGAGTTGGCCGGACGCCTCTGATCTCGGCCACGGCCCGGGCGTGACCGTGCCCCATTGGTCGCCCTTGTGAGGTGGCTCGTCGGCGTTTCGCAAGTCAAAGCCGACGTGGTCGACCCCTTCCTTTCCGCCTCCCTTCCGCCTCTCCTCCGCCCTCTGCCTCCCCTCCCCTCCCCTCCCGTGCTACGTCCCTCCCCTCCGCTCTCCCTCCCCTCCCATCCCATCCGACTCCGAGCGGACAGTGACGGATGAGGGCATCGAGCCGTGGATCGTCCATTCGCATCGCCTTTTCTTATTTTATCCTTGGCCGACCCCCTTCTGGAACCATAAGGAATCAACATGTTTCCAGCTCATAACTTGCTTGCTCTTCTCACATGGACCCAAAAGCGCCTTGGAGGAGCCCCGTCTACTCCAAGAGGCTAGGGCTCCCTTCCTTTTGTTTGGAGGGTTCCCCAGAGGAGACTTGAACCTAAGCGTGCGCGAAACGCGCGTGCGCGGTTCTAGTGTATCAACGTGGTGGGCAGAGGTGGGGTCGCAAGGGGGACGGGGACGCGGGGGAGGGACGGGCGGGATTCGGCCAAAGAGGAGGAAGAGGAGGAGGATTTCTGGACGTTCCACAGTCTTGCTTGATTGTCTTGCTCTCTTTCCCTCCCACCATCCTGCTGCTCATCCTCCCGGTCAGGGATGGGGGTGCGGCTGCGACCACCCGATCGGCCCAGTCCGCCAGGGAAGCGCGGAGGCCGCGGCGCCTGTGGCAGACCCAACGCCTTCACGGTGGGCGAGTGGGGGGGTGAGGGGTGAGGGGGAGAAGGAGGAGGAGGAGGAGGAGGAGGGGGAGAAGGACGAGGAGGAGGAGGAAACAAGGAGGATCCCTCCCTCCCGTATCCGCCCTCCCGGAAAGGAGATGGGAGGGGAAGCGTCATTCGAATGCAGGTCGGATTGTTCTATATCCCTGGTGCCCTTTCGCCGGAGGGTTCTCATGGTGGCACAACAGGACCACAGAGGAGTCCCACCCCTAGATTATATACCGTTTGGTCCCGCAGCCGTCTCGCCTGAAACCTCACACTGTATTGAGGAGTTGTGCTCAATGCCGGCTACAGTTTTGAACCCGACGGCCACGATCAGTAGTAAAAAAACATGTAGGTGCACATGGCCGTGCTCTCGCCCCGGTTCCCTAGGAATGCCAAGTATTTCCCTACCTAGGCTCTGCCTAGAAGGGTTCTTACCCTGTAGCTTAAAGGGGCCGGGCAGTGGAAAGCGCCCCGGGCGGTTCCACCAGTCCCCTGGGAGCCAAGCAAACGCAACAGCAAAGGTAAAAGCAAACGCGCGGTTCCCCCAGTTGCGCTCCCCGGGTGTCAAGCAAAAGCAAAAGCAAAGGCAAAAGTGAAGGCAAAAGCGAAGGCAAAGCAAAAGCATAGCATAGCATAGCATAGCATAGCATAGCATAGCGCAGCATAGCATGGCGCGGAATATCATAGCATATCATAGCATAACATAGCATAGCAGAGCAGAGCAGAGCATAGCATAGCATAGCATAGCTACAACTACGACGATGAGGAGAAGGAGGAGGACGGCGTTTACCGCTCCTACTAATGTTGCTTTCCTAGAGGCTCCAACTCCTAGGTAGGGTCGCACTGGGATAATGCAAGTTTTCATTCGCCGACCTCCTACTCCTCGACCCTCCTCATTACCTTTGCTGTTATTACGGTGATTTGGTGGGATAGTGATTCTTTCTGACTTCAGAGGCGGTGAGGGGGAGAGGATAGGTGAAAGGCATGGAAGGGAGGAGGAGGAGCAGGAGGAGGAGGAGCAGGAGGAGCAGGAGGAGGAGGAGGAGGAGGAGGAGGAGGAGGAGGAGGAGGAGGAGGAGGAGGAGAGGAGGGGGCAGAGTGGAGCAGGAGGGCCGGATGGACAGAGGGGCCGAGGAGGAGGGGGGAGGGGGCTAGGGGCAGTGCGTTGGGAGGAGGCTGCGGGAGGAAGGAGGCAGCGGCAGGCTTTCAGGGGCACCCCGCGGGCCAGGACTGCCAGAGCTCTGGCGGGCCGCCGCGGGCGCCCCGGGGCTGGCGCGGCGAGGCCCCCCCCCGTCTCGTGGGCGAATCGGGGAACCGTCAGACTCAGACTCGAGTGCGCCGGAACTCGGGGCGGCCTACGCTTTTTGACGACCGCGTCCTGGATGTGAACGGTCCATTTTTCGTGGGATGTCTGCAGCGGGAGCTCGTCTCAAATTTCTGATTGGGTTTCGTCATTTTCATGATGGCCCCGGCAGGCAAACCCGAGTCCTCCGAACTCGAGCCCTACGTCTCCCCGAGCGAAGAACATACGGTCGGGAACAACCAGCGCCGCGGGCAGCGCAGGGCCTGGCCTGTCCATCATAGTTACGGTAGGTTCGTGATGTGTCGACCAGCGGCGACCCCGCCGCCAGCGTTCAACATTACCCGCCGCCGGCAACCCAGAATCGGTCGACGTTGAGGGATCTGACGTTTCGGAAACGAACGACCGTTCAAGGTTGAAAACAAATCCGCGGTGTCAGACACCAACATCGAATTCGGCAGGCAAAAACCTGCCGTATGGCCTCAGTGGGCCCTGGAAGCGATACGGCCGCTCTGATGCCCGTTCCATTGTGCAGTTTTTGCGGGCTGTTCCGGCGTCGTTCGTTTTCCAGTTCCGGCGCCGTTTTTGTTACCAGGTTCCTGTTCCAATCCCAGAGCAGTTGTTGCCCCGTTTCTGGGAGCAGTGTTTTTTTTTTTTTCCATTCAAGACGCTTCGCGGTCACCGCCCGCCCATTCCAGGTCTCGCTGGACGAGGCGAAGACGGCTCCAAGACGGGATAAACATAGCCTAACGTATTTTTAGACCCAGAGACGAAGATGGCGCCAAGAGGGGATGATTACATCCCAACAATGGTGATTGACTCCCGCACAGGTGTGTTTTGTATTGTGTCATGCGTTCAATTCCTCCTCCATCCCATCGCCGGTAGGACCGATGTTCTATTTGTCGATTTGTCGTCGGATGCTGCTTAAGATCAGCCAAAGACGCCCGGAAAACGGCCCCAAAAGGCGCCAACAAGGGCCGAAAAGGGCCCGGAGAAGAGCCCCAAAGGGGCCCAATACGGGCCCGAGGCGGCCCAGTCGTCCAAGCGCGAGCATCCCCGCATTGGGCCACAGCCCTGTCCGTCTTCCGGTAGAAACCTGGCAGGTTCTGGGCTGTTTTGGGTCTCGTTTTGGGGCTCAAGTTTGGCCCCAAATCGTTAAAAATTGAGCCCAGAGCGTGTCCAAAAACGGCGTCGAAGTTTACACGCTGAAAAATTGCGGAGGCCTCCGGGGGGGGATTAGGGGGGGGCTAAAGGTTTGGAAGGAGCCCTCGCAGTTAAGTCTCACGCGCCCCTCAGCCCGGTGGGCGGACGGATTCAAGTGGCTTACGCCATCCCACCGACCCCCGCAAGGAGTGATTGTTTGAGAAGATCGTGGAAGTTCTATCTTGGGTCTGGAGCCGCCTGGATGAATGTGAGGGTCTCTTGGGATGCCACTCTGGGGACTCTTGGACAATTCTTGGGGAACTCCTGAGGGTACGTGGGACGCTTTGGGGGGCCTCATGGGGGCCCCTGGGAGGCTTCTTGGGGGGTTCTTGGAGGCCTCTTGGGGCCTCTTGGAGGGCCCTCGGGGGCCTCTGGGGGGCTCGAGGGGCCATCTCCGTGGGAAAGGCTCGAAATGTCACTTCGTATTTTCCCTCTTGAGCTTTCTTAGGGCTTCATGGAGCCCTCCAGGGGCTGTCATGGGCCGTCTTGGGGGGCCCCTGGGGCTGTATTTGGGCAGTCTTGAAGTCTTCTTGGAGGCATCCTGGGCCGTCTTGGGGCGATCTTCGGGGCCACTTGGGCCGTCGCGTCATTCGCTGTCAAAAACAAAGTGCGCATGTGCTGAACATTTTATGTTTTTCCCCGGGAATGAGATGATTTGGGCCTCTTGCGGCCCTCTCGGCGATCCTGTGGAGGCGCTTTCGGGCTGTTTTGGAGGCCGCGTTGGCCACCTTGAAGCCATCTTGGATCGTCGTGGGGCTACCCGGGGCCGTCATGACGCTCTCTTCGACTGTCTTGGCGATCTGTCTGGGCCCTGTTGGGCTGTCTTGGGGCTCCTTGGAGGTTTCGGGGGCCCTGGGGGTGCGTTGACGAGCTCGTCCCCCCCCCCCCTCGCCGCCCCCCCTAGAATGACATGTCGGACTCCAGGGGTGGGGGAAAGGGGGAGGGGGAAAGGCCTTCTCGTCTCGGGCAAGCTGGGGTCGGCGGCCCGTTTCTGGGAGCAGTGTTGGTTGAACAGTTTTCTAGTTCCAGAGATTTGTCAGGGGCCACTAAGGCTGTGGTTGCGTGCGGCACGTGCCAGTTGACCCCGAGTGTGCTTTCGAGACGGCACCACGGCAGGTCGAAGTTGCGTGCGCCGCCGCCTCGTTGTCCCCGTCGATTTCCTCGCGTGTCCCCGTATCCCGCAGGCCTTGCCGGGGCTGGAGCTGGGGCACCACGTGCAAGGTGCGAGCGCCATGCCGGGCATGCGCTGGCCCAGGCGGCAAGCTTGCTTGTGTGGTTTGCTGTTGATTCGGGTGTCATCCATCTGCCTTGCCGTCCGTCCGCCCCCCCCCCCCGCCCCTCTCGCATCATTCTTCGCACTTGCCCAGCACGAATGCTTATCAGTTCTCTCTCTCTCTCTCTCTCTATATATATATCGTTCTCTCTATGTCTCTCTCTCTCTCTCTCTCTCCTTCTCTGTATGCTGTCTGATGGTGCCGCTGCCTGTCACGCGTAATTTGTGTGCTCATGCATCGGAATGTCGGAGACTGTTATGTTTTATAGGTGTGCTCAGTCGAAGCGTTTTCGGACCTTCCAACATGGGGCTGCCGCTTCAGCGTTGGCCACATTTCGAGATCGGCGCTTTGCTCCCGTCCCTCAGGTGCTCGCGCCCCAACGCGGGCCACACTCCTAGATCCGATTCCTTCGTCGTTGCCGTACCCCTCCTTTCCATTCCTCCGCTTTTCCCTGTCCCTCTTGCTCCTCCCACTCCTCCTACCCCTGCTGCTCTTACCACTTGCTCATCATCCTGATCGTCCTCCTGCTCATCCACCACCTGTCCCCCCCTCCCCCTCCTCATCCCATCCAGTGTACACAGGGCCCCTTTTTGATTGCGGATCACACGATGGGGTCGATCTGGGGTTCACGGTTCTCGAGGTTTCAACGCAATGGGAAGGGATGGGTGGCTCGTACGGATCGGGTGTGAGATATCGCACGGGTGCACCTGACTTGCCCTCGCCCCCCGCTCCCCTCCTTTCCTCTGCTCTCTTTGCTTTTCGGGCCCAGGGCGGGGGGAGGGAAGCGCTCGAGGGCTGAGCACCATCATATTCAGCTGGCAAGGATGTGGTTCGGTGCGTGAGCGAGGAGAACGGCGAACATCGCAGGGGAGACAGACAGGACGAATGAGGAGAAGGGTGATGAGCTGTCGGGGAGAAGGGGGGGAAGCCAGATCGGGGTGTGGAGAAGGCCGAGGAGCGCGCTGGCACAATGAGGAGAGCGTTGCAGACGCCGGCAGAGGCATGGCAACTTCAAGGAGAGGTAGATCGGCATTGTCACTCGCCCGTGATGCGGCCTGGCAGTTTTTTGTCACATGTTGTCTTGCCCTATGATGATCGGGGGACTGGCTCCTCTGTTGGGAACTACAAGTTATGTATTGGCGCTAGTCTGAAGGACCAGTGCCAGAGCATGTTCCAATTTTTAGCGCTTGTCTGAAGGACTATTGTCAGAGTACGTTCGCTTGGTAGCACTAGTCTGAAGGACCGGTGTCAGAGCACGTTCTCCATTTACCGTAGGGCGTTTCCTTGTTTTGCTTCCCCCCGCACCGTCCCCATCCACGTGACTTGTTACGCATCGTCGCCCTGATTGTGTAGGATGGGGAGGAAGATGGGGAGGAGAAGGATGAGGAGTAGGAGGAGGAGTAGGAGTGGGAGTAGGAGTAGAAGTAGGAGGAGGAAGAGGAGGAGGAGGAGGAGGAGGGAGTTGATGAGGCAAGTTAGCCAGGTCTAGCCAGTCAGAGGGACAGTCCATGTCTATTCTTTTCTCATAATGTAAGAATCAAGCGTGGCGCACCCTAACATCGGGGTTGGAGTGCGCTCCCGCCTCGCGAAGTTGCGTCGCTCGCACGCGGCCCCGCTTTCGGCGGGGTGGCGGGGGGGGAACTACCCGTGCCGCGCAGGGGCGGGAACGGCACAGCGAAGACGGGGCGTGCACCGCGCCGACAGCCGTCTCACGTTCACTCACAAGTTGCGCGGCGCTGGGGCGAGGTCAGTATTTCGCCTGGCCTCGCGCGACCCAGCTGCCGCAGACACCTTCATGCGATTCGGCGAACGAGCCATGCGCCGCGCCCGTGGGGAACCGCTGCTTCACAGCGAAATGCGCATGGGGCATGGGCGAGGGCGACAAGTCACTCGCCTGCAAGGGGCCCCAAAGCTGCGCCGCGCCGAGGCGGGACGCTGCAGTGCGCCGATACGAAAACAACGTTTTCGCCCGCTCGCGCGTCGACGGATTGGCGTGCGAAAAAGGCGCGCGGCGCCCCAACGGGAGTTCAACTGTCTGGAAAAATGAGCGCGGCGCGAAGGCAAGAGTGACATTTCGCCCTTTCGCGCGGGATGAGTGATACCAGGTTGTGTACTGGACCTCTTGGGCATCTCTCCCGCCCCGCCCTTGCCTTCCCTGCGGCCATCGCCACGCGTATGTTATTGTCGCTTTCTGTTTGCACGCACGCACCACTGTGTTTGTATGTGCGAATGGGTTTCGCCCTCTGCCGCCAGCATCCCCTCCACCACACCGGGATACATCAGAGCTGTAAGTATTGGGGTGTCTTGGCGTCGGCTTGAAGACTCAGGGGGGAACTTACGCGAAGAGTTGGCCCACGGCAACATATTGACATGTTAGGTTTACTGTTGGAAGCTGTGTTGCCGTCTTGGGAAACCTGCGCGGTAGGGACGGTCTTTGGGTTCCTTGCAGTCTTTGTTATTTTTGAGAGCACGCGGCTCAGGTTCCGGCCCAGAATCTTAGGGGAAACGGGGCAGGGGTGCCGAAGAGCGCCCCCCGAGCACATGTCCCAATACAGAAAATCATAATATGGGGGTGGCGATTTGGGGCAGCCTCCGCGGGGTGGCTTCGTAGCCTCGGGATCGCGCAGGTGGTGCAATGTGTGCCTGGCGTTGTGGCCTCGAGGGCGCGAGCCAGGCGCATTATGCAAAGGTTGATGGGCCCAGGGGCCTGCATCAGGTGCAATTGACGCAGGATTCTGGCTTCGGGTGTGGGTAGGACGTTGCAGGATGATGGGTGCACATTTGTAATTTCTTATTCTGCGAAAGTTCTTTGATCTTCTGGGGGCCAAGATCTTTTCATTTCTAATTGTTCTATCCTGGGCCTCTTCCTGGCCACCAGGGGGCCAGGAACAATTAGAAACGAGCACAATTAGAAATGAGCACGATTAGAAATGAACGACGCGTAATCCAGTTGGCACGTAAGAGCCCAAACGAGAGGGTGGGGTCGGGCGGGCGGTCCCTGACGGGCGGCACGGGTCGGGCGGGTGGCAAAGTCAAGTATAATGATTGACCAAGTTGGCACGTAAGAGCCCTGACGGCCCAGTCGGGTCGGGCGGGCGGACCCTACCAAGCGGGGCTGGTCGGGCGAACCCGGCATGAAAGTTGTCGTCGTCAGTGCCGTCTTCGTCTTCGTTTGTCCACTCATCCTGTCGTTGTCGTCCTTCGTCCGTCGTCGTCGTCGTCCGTCGTCGGTCGTCGCAATAATCACTATGGTCGGTCGTCAGTCGTCAGTCGTCGGCCGTCGTCGTCGTCGTCGCCCGTCCTCGTCCTCGTCCTCGTCCTCGTCGTCGTTGCCGTCGTCGTCCGCCGTCGTCCATCGTCCATCGTCGTCGTCGTCGTCGCCGTCATCCTCCCTCGTCCGCCGTCGTCCGTCGTCCGTCGCCCGTCATCGTCGATGGCGTCGTCGTCGTCGTTGTCGTCGTCGCCGTCATCCATCGTCCATCGTCAGTCGTCCGTCGTCGTCGTCATCGTCGTTGTCGCTGTCGTCCTCCCTCGTGCGCCGTCGTCCGTCGTCCGTTGTCTGTCGCCCGTCGTCGCCGATGGCGTCGTCGTCGTTTTCGGCGTCGTCGTAGTTGTCGTTGTCGTTGTCGTCGTCATTCATCGTCCTTCGTTGTCCATCGTCGTCGTCGTCGTCCGCCCTCGTCCGCCGTCGTCCATAGTCCGTCGTCGTCGTCGCCGTCTTCCGTCCTCGTCCGCCGTCGTCCGCCGTCCGTTGTCCGTCCTCCGTCGTCCGATGCCGTCGTCGTCGTCGACGTCGTCGTTGTCGTCGTCGTCGTGCGTCGAACCGTCATTGTTGTGGCCGTCGTCGTAGTTGTTGCTGTCGTTGTCGTCCATCGTCCGTCGTCCTCGTCCTCGTCCCTGTCGCCGTCGTCGTTCACGTCTGGCTTCCAGCGTCATCCTGGTCGTCATCGTCCCTCGTCGTCATCTTCCGTCGTCGTCGTCGCGGCCGTCTTGTTGTCGTTGTCATCGTGGTCGTCGTGGTCGTCGTCCCTCCGTCGTCGTCCGTCGTTCGTTGTCCGGCGATCGTCGTCGTCGTCATCCTCCGTCGTCGTCGTCGTCGCGGCCGTCGTTGTTGTCGTTGTCATCGTGGTCGTCGTTGTCGTCGTCCCTCCGTCGTCGTCCGTCGTTCGTCGTCCGGCGATCGTCGTCGTCGTCATCCTCCGTCGTGGTCGTCGTCGTCTTTGTCATCTTTTAGCGCTGATGCTCGCCGTCTTCGTCGTCGCTTGCTAGCAGCGAGTAGGGGATGGGGTGGGGGGGACGGGTGGAGGGGGAGGGGGAGGGAGAGGCGAGAGGGTGGGGACGGGGGGGTCCGAACCGCATGTCTGACCAATCTCAACCGACTGGTACCAATCACAACCGACCTGGTCACTTCTCAACCGGCCAAAAAACCAACCGGTACCAATTACAACCAGCCATCTTGAGCCGACAATCGGACTCGAGTTGCCCAGCATTTGAAGACGATTCAGACACCAAATGAACGTATGAACCGTACGCGTTCTTTCTTGAAGGTAACATGAGTGCCCCAGTTGGAAGTGGTACTCGTTTACATTCTGGCATCTGGGAGTTGTGTTGCCTTGCAACAACAACTCCAAACAGTACATATCACCCCAAGGCAACACATATATTCAACACAAAAACATATCTTCACAACGCATACCCACACACCTTCCACAACAACATATAACCAAAACCCGACTTCTCATCCTCCTTGTCATCGTCCAGTCCTTCCCTTCTCCTTTCCTGCTTCCTCCGTCCTCTTCCTCATCCTCCTCCTCTTCCTCCTCCTTCTCATCTCTCTCGTGCTCCATTCCTCATCTTCCTCCTCGTCTTCTTTTTCCCATATCCTCCTCCTTCTATTGTTCCTCCTCGTCCTCATCCTCTTCCTCCTCCTTTCCGTCCTCCTCCTCTTCCTGATCCTCCTACTCTTCCTCCTCGTGTCCCTCCTACCCCTAAGATGGTCCCAGGAGATCGAGCATGGTCCGAGATAATCCCTGACAGACCTCGAAGAGGCTTCAAGACTGCCATCAAGCGAGCCCAAATAGCTGCGCTTCCGACAGCCTCTAGCCGACCAGGGCTCACAATAGCCGCCAAGAGGCCTCAAGAAAGCCTCCGATCGTGACTGGACGGGCTGGTGGGAATTCGCGAAACGTCGAGCGTTTACGTGTTTGTTTGAACATGCGTTCGATAGGGAAGTAGGGGAGGTGGTGGCGGCGGCGCAGGGGAAGGCGACTCGTTCGGCCACCCTGTCCCTCCCCGTGGGTTCGGGAGCTCCCCGAACCCACGAGGGCACGAAACGCTTCCATTGTAAGCGTCGCCCTCGGGGTTTTGGGGGATCCCGCGCCCGCACGAAAGAAGGCGAGGGCCGAATGACTCGGCGGCGGCGGCGGAGGGCAAAGCGACCCGTTCGCCCCCCTCTCCCTCCCTATGGGTTCGGGGGCTCACCGAGGCCCCGAGGGCACGAAATGTTTCCATTGGAAGTTTCGCCCTCGGGGCCCGGAGAAACCCGTGCCCGCGGGAGAGCAGGCGGGGGCCGAACGACTCGGCGGCGGCTGCGGAGGGTAAAAGGAATCGTTCAGCCACGCTCTCCCTAGCCATGTGTTCGATAGCTCCCCGAACCCCCGAGGGCACGAAAACTCCAAGAATCCGGAGGAGCAGGGGTCCGAGGGACCTGCAGGAGTCCTCCAGGAATCCCGCAGGAATCCCCCAGGAATCCCGCAGACGCCCTTCAGGAATCCACGGGAATTTTTGTTAACGGGATCCGCAGGAACCTTGCAAAATCGCCCAGTCTCGAGAAATCCTTGAGGATTCCTGTTGGAATCGTCAGGACTCCCGGGGAATCCTCAGGAATCCTTCAGGAATCCTGTGGGGCCCTTCGGGAAGCCTCAGGAACCCTTCGCGAGTCCTCAGAAATCCGTCCACAGAGATCCTCCCGAAAACCGTCATCGTCATGAAACATGAGCAATCATTCCGGAACCTACAGGAATCTTCAGAAATCCGACAGGAATCTTTTGAAATCCATGTGGAATCCTTGAGGAATCTTTCGGGAATCCTCAGGAACCATTCAGGAATCCTTCAGAAACCCATTGAAGGTCTTCCGAAATCTTCCAAGAGTCATCGGCAATCCCAAGGAACCGTCAGAACGTCGAGAAAAACCCGTCCGACATCCTCGAAGTTCCACTAAGGATCCTGCAGGAATTTCTAGGGAGCTGGAAAGGAGCTTATTTGGAACTTCTAAGGAACTCCGAAGAAACCCCAGAAGCTTCCAAAGCGGGTGTGGTTGGTACCAGTTGGTTGGGATTGGTACCGAAATTGTTGGAATCCGTCTTAGTTGGTTGTGTGTGTTTGTTTGTTCTCCCCATTTTCGGTCCGACCCACCCCCCTTTTGAAAGGGGATGTGGAGTGGGGGACCAGCTCCTTGGGCTCCCTGGGGGGGTGCGGGCGGGGAGGGTTGTGGGGAGAAGGGGGGCGTGGGTTCAGGGAGACCTTCCGAGTTTTTTCCAGGGTCGGCTTCTGATACCCATTTTCACGCGAGTGGCCGTCACACGCTTCATGGTTCCATAGAGAATTCCGCCGTAAGGCCTCAGTGGCAAAGCCAGCACGGGTGCCCGCGCCCATGCCAGCATCTTTTCGTGGCCCCACAGGGACTTCCACCGAAGGTTTCCAAAGGCAAGGTCCGCATGCGCGCCCGTGCCTATGTCGGCACACCCCTCACACGCTTCGAGGACCCACATGGAGTTCCACCGAATGCCCCAAATTCGACCCTCATTCGTCCTCGTCCTTTTACACGTCCCCTCCCTTCTGCCCACGTGACTCGCGGGACTCGCACCGGCATCTGGTTGGGACCTTCGGCAAGTGCTCATGAAGTTCGTTGCGCTATGATGGGGAAGCGCTGGGAAGCTTTCCGCGGGAACCTCCGGGGAGGTCCCGCCGCCTCCCAGGAAGCCCCCCTTCTCTCTTAGCCGACCGCCCCCCTCGCCCCGCCTCCTCCTGCGCGCCTTCAGAAGGGGGACCAAAACAACATGTTCGTTGTGGTCCAGGTGCGCGCGCCCGAGCGACGCGGGAAAACAAGTTCGCATTCACCGACATTCGCGCGTAAGCTCCCCGCGGAAGGTCGCGCGAGAACGCCCTCGTTATCCACGCAGCGTGCTGCGCTGGTGGTCCGCGGAAGCCGCTATGTCATCTCGCGTAAAATCCTTTTTGTTTGCGTCGCCCAGGTGGCGACCTTTGAAGTGACAGCGTGGCTTAGCGGTGCTTGCAGGCATAGAAGCAGGGCGCATGTGATCCCATAGATGCGGCATGTTCGGGCCCGCCGGCGCGCTGCTGCGGTGCACGGTGTGGTGGCCCGACCGCGCAGCATAAGCTGACAGTGGCCCAGCGTTCCGCCTCGCGCGAGGAGTATTCGTCTCGAAGAGGTGAATGGGTCAGCCACGCGCAAGGGTGGGAGGCGTGAAGGGGGAGGGTTTCTTAGACGCACCCCTTCTTCTTAGAAGGCGTGGGCCTTGTTTATAGATGTAGGGATGTAAGGCCGGCTCCTTCGAAGAAGCAGCCTCCTTGGAACAAGCCTTCCCCCCTTCCGCCATTCCCTTGTGCGCGCCGCCAAGTGAGTTCGGGGTGGGAGGAGTGGCGGGCGGAGGGTGGACGTGCGATTCGTTTCGCGGTGGTAGCTACGCGGTCTGCGCTGGATCATCGCATTGGGGCAGTGAGGGCCATCAGCTGACCTCTGGGGCTCCCAAACGTTGCCTAGGTATCGCTCGGACGTGTGCATTCTTCTCGGCGAGGCAGCGTCAGAACATTCGGGGGAAAGAAAAGCATATACGAAGCCAGGGAATGCACAGGGAATTTACGCCCGAGCGATGGCAAGTTGCCGCCGCCTCTCCGGCCGACGGCCCCAATGGACCCAACACCCAGCAAGGTGTGGGCAGCACGTGCCGTCAGGCCCTCCTGGTGCGCGGGTTCGAGCGCCTGCGCGGAGAGGGCGAGCGGCAGGGAGCAGGAGGAGGAGGAGGAGGAAGGAGGAGGAAGGGAGGAGGAGGGAGAAGGACGAGGATGAGGAGGAGGAGGAGGAGGAGGAGGAGGAGGAGGGAGAGGAGGAGGAGGAGGAGGAGGAGGAGGAGGAGGAGGAGGAGGGGGCTACCACAAGCGGCCGCGACCACAACCACGAGCCCAGACAATCACGACCGCCACCAGCACGACAACCACTGCCGCCACCACCAACACCACGACGACGACTCTGAACACGACGACCCCCGCGACCACCGACACCACGACCACGACCAGCGCTGGCACGTTCACTGAGGCGACCACCGCCGACCAGCACCGCGACCACGACCACGGCCAGCACGATGGCGCCATGACCACCGCCAGTGCCACTACCGCCACCGACCCGACCGCCCCCGCCCCCGGCCGCCCCTCTCCTCTCCTCGCCCTGCCCCTGCCGGGCCGCCCTTCCTGCCGCATGCGCCTAGTGCCGCGCCTCCGCATTCATCCTCGCCCCTGCTCCTCCTCTGCCTCCCGTGCAGGTTGCCCCCGACGCCTGCGCCGCTTTGCCCGCCCGGGCGGCCGCCCAGGGCGGCCGCTCAAGGCGGCCGCCCACCCAGCTAGCCAGCGTTGGTGGTGGTGTTTTATCCGTAAGGGCTTCGCCCCCTGCCGCCGGCCCCCTCTCTCGGAGAATGGGCCATGGAAGAGCTAAGTCATGAGGCCTTGGCACTGTCGTGAAGCAGTATCGAAACTTCATGCGA